ATATATATATATATGACACTGACACTATAGATGACACCCTGTAAATCTCCATGGTGCTGGGAGAAATGTATAGTCGGTCCAAATCTCAAAATCATGACCAACAGTTCTCCTGTCACCAGTTGTCGCCTGCCTTCGGGCGGGGAAAAGCCCTGTCTTCAGGATCCCAAAACCTTGGCTGCTGTTCTCCTGGCGATGAACCTCCTGAGCTGTGTCTCTGAAACTCTTTCGGTCGAGGTGAGGAGAAAACGACCTGCAAACCACCGGATCCGCTCGAACACATCAGCTTTGACGGCGCTTTCGAGACAAAAACGTCATCCCATCCCAGGCAAGTCTTGAAAAAACAAATGATACGCTTTCTCTTGAAGACACACAGGAACAGGTGGCCTTCAAGATTGAGCTGTATATTCCCAAAATGATGTGAACATGTAAACATGTGACCACCAAGAGTCTTTGACAGCATTTGATCAGGGCAACAAGGGCATCGCTACTAGAAACAAGATGTAACAAGCGCAATACTACTATAAACAAGGACGCTTCGAAGGCACGACGGAACGCCAGGCCGACGCAACGCCGAGCAGCTTGGCGAACCTCATGGCGGCCCTGGCACTGCTCCGCGCGGCGGTCCCGCAGTAGCTCGCGGAGGAAGCCTTGGCCGCTGCAGGCAACGAGGCGGGAGCATGAGAATGCCAGGTGGAGATCAGAAGAGAAACTCTCAAGCAAAATTGATTTGCATGTCATGTCAAGATTTTTGGAAGCCGACATGAGTATATATGGGAAATGGATGGGATTGGAATCTATGCCGAGATTGACCCTGGTTTCAACACCTCCCGGCAAGGGAGATAAATATGACGTACATGAAGTGTCGGGGACATGTGGGTCCGATTCCCTTTCCTGGCCACATGAAGTATAGACGAGAAGAAGGCCGAGGAGCCCGGCCAGAGAACCATCAAAAGCGTCTTCCCGAACGGGCCGAAAGAGTGAAGAACAAAAACCGCTTCGATCTGTAGAATTCCATGGAGAACTCTGAATAGTGCCTTGTATAGTATAGAATACAAGCAAACATTGAATTGGATATTTGTGAACAACCTTTAAGGGGTGAACAGTGCATACGAAGAACCGAAACAAGTCCTGACCATTGCTTGTGGATATTGCTTTTGCCGACCCACGACGTTTCGGCATGACATGTGGTTTTCCCTATCCCGGTGAGCTGGTGAACCATGGGGTGGTCAAATCGAGACATGACTTGGGTCTGTCCGAACTTGCCTGTAACAATTAAACCATGATCACTATTTTTGGACAAGGCCTCTACTAACCATCATCATCCACTGTTACAGGTCATAGGGTAGACCCAATACATATATCATATTACGACATATTGATTGGATGAGGGAATTGATTGACGCAGCATGTTGACATGACCTGCTGAGTTCGAGGCAGTCCGGACATTGCAGGAATCGAACACATCCGGCACGGGCCATCAGGTTGTTCTCTAAGAGTAGCAGACAAAGTCTATCAACAAAGCTTACTATAGGAGCTTCTAAGGGCTGCCCCAATGAAGTCCCACAAGTTGTAGTAGTCCATATGCCAAGGACACTCTAAATTATTTATGTGATTTAGAGCGTCCTCCTTGCGATTCCCCCACCTGTTCGATGAACGTGCATGTATATACCGACGTGGCATGTGCAAGGATCCAGTATGACGGCCCTGGGCCGTGGGCAGACTGCCGGCTTTTGTTCCATCTCATTTCAGAAGTCTTGACCATGTTTCCATGTTACCAGGGTTCATGTGTCTTTTCCCATATTCGAAGCTATTTCTGATAGTTCAGCAGACTGTAACCTTCAAAGCAGAGATCCCAACCGGACGAAGACAACACAAGGCTTCACCTGGATTGGGACGAAGACATGGGACATGGGCCCAGCGCGATCGGAACGAACTCTGAGGCTCACCTTCGCATGGATCACTTTGAAGCGCCACACCTTGCCACCATCGCCTGAAGGTGGACGGAGTTCTGGAACCGCCGATCCGGTTCTCTGTGGAAGGTCCTCGAAGGTGTTGGTGGCGGTTGGAAGGTGTTTTCCGACGCAATTTTTCCTCCAAAGTTGGTGAATGGAGTGGTGAGTGATGGGTGTGGTCTGGAAGTTTCATTTCCAGACCATCGATGTATGAAAGAGTTACTTACAAGTGTACTTACATTAGGGTCATAAATGGGGTAAACGATGATAAATGTATGTAACTATTCTGGAACTGACCCAGAGGGTCCAGGTAATTACCTCTTTTCGGATGGTCTTGGAGGTGAAAGTACCATCCAGAGAATGGAAATGGGGCCAAAGGACATCCTCAGGATGGTCCTGGACCCTTAGGATGAATGTTTGGGATTGCTTCGTTTTCCGTGAACCTCCGACTCGGTCTGGTCTTCGACCGTCCAAGATCAGCTGCATGGTCAGTAGAGGGACCCGGAGTGTGACAGGACCGAGATCTGGACATCAATTCATCCTGAGCGACGCAGAGTTCTCCTGGAGTTCTTCCAAATCTATCCCAAACACTCCATGCATTGAAGATAGTCGTGCATTCACCCCTGAAAACGTCACAGGCCTAGGCAAGACAATTGCCATTTATTGATTGTTAGTGTTTGGGTATGTTTTCACGGTTTAGTGGGAGTGGTGCAAGCATAGTCAGACTCCTGCGCTCTCTTTGGAGGTCGGGACTTTCACCTGTACAATCCTGTACATATACCGACTAGTAACTAGTATGGCAGACCGGTAGACCCCAAACAGATCGAACAGGGTGAATCTCTGATTAGAGACACAACTCACATGGTCATTGCCAAAACAGTGTTCTGGGCATTGCAAAGGCACCTGTGACCTCCCCTCAGAAATAAAATCTCCCCAAAAACGCCAGTTCCATGTCGGCTTACAGTATCTCAATCCCATCCAGCAAGCGTGCTGTGGATCTGCTGGATCGAGGGGTTAGGCACCAACCTCGTCGGTGCGACGAGGCGAGGACTGGTAATGAGGGAAGGAGCTCGCCCCCGATTCCTTGGGATCCACCCTCATAGCCTATACTAGGCATAGGTCAGCCATGGGACAATTCGGGCAGACTCCCCTCGAATCGCTCAGGTTGGCACAGAGTCACACGGTGAACTCCAAGCTGTTGGAGGCCATCGGAGAGCGAAGCCTCGAGCTCTCGTTCCAAGCGCAGGAAGCTTCCGTAACGGCGGGGAGCGACACATGTGACAGGTAGACAAGACGAATTGTGCTTTCAGATAACTTTCATGATGATCTGAGTGTTCAGTCTTATGACTTGGGGTGCTCAAGTTTCTTGTTTTGGGTGTGAACATGTAGGTGTTTTGATTCTCCGTGACAACCCGGACACTGCTTCTTCTGTATTCAAGGACTGTGCGAACTTGGCATGAGCCTTCGCACACTTGCGTCACCGGCAGAAGCTGCTGCTTGAAGTCCTTGGTCGCCAGGCAGGGTTTAGTCACGTCTGAAAGAGAGGACCTCCTCATGGCGCCCTGGGCCCCGGCACCTTCGACTTCATAATCTATACTTGCCAGGTCAATTGGAAGACTTTTTGCTGGTTTCATGTGATCTACTTCGTGGTTTTCATGATCCAATTATATGGTTTTCCCACCTTTTCCAGCAAAGGTGTGTAGTGTTCCCAAACACTCCACTTCGGATGTCATGATCTACTTCGTGTTTTTTTTGTTACGGCAGGCCGTGATGCAGATGTCATGTCCGGGTTCTGGCATTGCCGCGGGAGATCTGGCGAAGCTTGCATGGGCCTTCGGTGCGCTGCATGGGCCTTCGGGGGCTTGGAGGAAAAGAATGGACTCTGGGCAAACATCCCAAGAGTCAGCATAGGCAGAAGAGTTCTTCAAGGACAAGTGCGACAATACTCACTTTCTCCAGGATCTCACATGAGTTTCTCCGCTGGGATATAGCAGACATTCATGGACTAACTTAATTCATGTTACATGTACGCAAGAAGCGTTTCTTTTTGCACTTTCAGGCTATAGTTCCCAGATGGTCAACCAATCTGGCTGCAACACAGGAATCACATGCTCACCACATCCAACCTCATCGCCGTTTCAACCTGACGGCGGGCGGGCATCGCTCAGTGCTCCGGCCGCCTCTCGGGCGTCTCGCTCGGCCAGGGACTTCCGGGCTTCGTGAGCTCCACTTCGAGCCCTTGGCCGAGGCGACCGGCTGCGCCTTCGACCGAAGCTTCGAGTGCAAGTGGAAGAGTCCTGGAAGAGTGTGGAGGGGGTGGATCCATGTTGATCAGATTGGTTTTGATTTACTGGTGTTTTGTGAAGGATTTGTTGAGTGTTGGTGGATGATCTATGAGTTTTCGCTGCCCGTGTCGGAGAGATATCCAGTGGACCTTGTGTGTTCGGGAACCCTTGTAGTGACCCCCAATAGACAGAAATGGCTTCCAACACATTTTTACTGGGCATTCTATCTATTTGGGGGTCTGTACATATGTGAATATAATATGTGAATAGTTATGTGAATGTATAAGATTATATAAGGTTGGCTTGGAGGCCATTGCTATTATAGTAGCTTCCGAAAAGCCGACGAGGGCCACGCGGGTCGCTTTGGACCAAGCACGATGGGTCGGTCGTTCAGACGTGGGTCGCTTGGCTGAAAGATCTTGAACACGTTCAAGATCGCTTAAGGGTTTGGACATCAGGTTGTCAGAGTGTTTTGCTCGATTTAAACAATTCAATAATCACTTATGGAGCAGAAGGATCCTGTCTTAGAGATGTTCTACAGATTGTCTACTTTGTGTGCTTGTTCTTCCAGGGGATCGGAAGTCATTGGGAACGACCATTGGAATCCACCCTGTAGTAGGTTGTTCATCAAAGCGATTCAATGATGCTGGCAATTGGTAGCAAACAATTCGACTCCTAGCTTGGTAGATCTTGTAGATCATGTGCAAATCCAACCTTTGGACCATTTTGCTTGAGGGGCTTGAGCTATTCCAAAGGCACATTTTCTCCAGGTTCCTCAGCTTGGGTTGTCTTCACCAAAATATCTATTTCACAGAAAGCTGTTGATCAAGAGAATGGGGCCCATTTCTTCACAAGATGTGCTGTTTTGCCAACAAGACACCAGTTGGATCACCCACCTCGAAGATGGTTTGCCCACAAGACACCAGTTTGGCCGCTAAGCGCGGCGCGACAGCCACCACATCTTGGGTTGTTCGGGTACCGTTCTTCAGAGCGATCGAAGTCTCGATTGGATGCAGCACGCGTACATACCCTAGGGATCCACATACCGAACCCCAGGTTGGCCCTCCCGGCGCCGACATAAATAGTCTCCAATCACCGTACCTGAGAAGGTACTTGGATCCCTAGGGATACACAAGCTGTACAAACACAGTAGATTGGATGCAGCACTAGTCCTTGCGGTGCAACGGTTTGTATCTCATCCCCAGGGCTCCTGGCCTACCTCCTGAGAAGGTGGTTGAGGTGGGTGCCAAGGGGTCTAACTACCTTCTGAGGAGGTGGGCCAGGAGCGGCATGTTCGATTGACATCACCCGTTGAGTTCGTGGAGTCTTTCGGGCCTGAAATCTTTGCGCATCTGAACCGTTCAGCCTGAAGCGTTCACCACCAGACTGTACCGAACCGACAATGGGATAAGATTCTTCGACCTTCAGACTGACCTAATATCAACATCAAGTCTACCACTACTAGAGGGCGATTGATCAACACTCCTCGGTTTTTGCGAGTCCAGAACCATAACCGTTTGACCAGGTGTTGACCAGGTTTTGGAGCAGGAGATTGGTCTGCAAATACTGTCTCTGGACGACCCCAGATCGACCGACGGGCGGTGCCGACCGACGGTGCGACCAGGGCTTTGTGATGCTGACGGACGACCAGAGCTCGAACGACCCTGAGCACGTGGCAAAGATGGTTTGGGCAGCAGCTAAGGCACGGGAGCATGGGTTGTGGTGAAGCATCAGGATGCACCACCCTTGCCTTTTGGAAGAAAATAATGATTTGACTATTGAACTATAGAGTCATAGGGAGAGCCTTTTTGGAAGAAAAACATGATCTCAAACGCACTAGAACCCAGTGGTTGGGAGGGCCTGCCTTTGCCAATACACATCTCTTCATGCGAGCGCCGCTTTGTCATGTGCCGCAGCAGGTGGGCTATGGGAGTGTGGCACTCATGGACAGGGTCGCCCTGCAGGTTCAAGTTCAGGTGGGGCGCCTCCCCGGGGGCTGAAGAGGCGAATCTTGTGCTTCATGAATCTGTTTGTTTTGTTAAGGCCCAGTGAATGGGCTTTGGACGCCATGCTGTGGCTTTCTATTATGGTTCATATCTCAGCATGATGTTTTGTTTGGCCCTTGCGTTCTTTTTGCTTCTTTAAAGGGGCCAGCGGCCAGCTTAGGCCTCCGTAGTACGTAGCCAGGCCTTCGGTCAAGTATACGCCCTGGACCCTGTCACAGGCTGTTCTGAAGGCTTTTGACATCGTTTTTGGTACACCTTCAATCCAATCCAGCAACGGTTGAGGAAATGGCCATGTGACTGAGCTCCACTTCAATCATGGGGGTGATCATCTATACTGTCTATACTGCACACCTCAAGCTTTCTTTCATCATTCCTGCAATGGTCCATCAATCTCCTCTACCCACTGAACAATCCAGCTGTACCCTCCCATTTTCCCCTTCCACCCCGCCACTTCCAGACCCCTCCGCTCCAGAAAAGCAGTCCTTCGCTCCGTTCCGCATCGACGTCTCTATAGAGGTTGCCGAGTTCCGACCCTCGAGCTTGGCCAACATCGCTTGGTCCTTCGCGACCTTGGCCGCTGGGGCGTTTAGGATGCACGGCGACCTTGGCCGCCGGACGATGCGGAGGCGGTGGGCCGCCATGGCCACCAGTGGTTTGTTGAGCAAGAAATGAGGAGCTTTGAGGGGTTTCACTTTGTTGTGGGTTTAGGGACATTGAAACCTCCTCAAAGTATCCCTAAAGGTGGCGTTCTTGCTGATTTTGTACTTATGGTTGTTGGAGTTCCTTTTTCTTACACAGCTGAATGATCCAAGCCAAGCACTTCCACCTCCTACTCGTAGCATTCTTGGGATCAGAGTTGCTAGACGTGCAGAGTCCCGAAAACTGGACCTCAGTTCCGAGCCTGGCAACATCAGTGACACCGAGCCTCAAGCTTTTCAGCTATTGTATCTAGAGCCGAGGTGTCGACAGGTCGACGGCCTTACATAGACTCGACTTAAGTGATCTCTTGCTAACATCAGAGAATCCCGGTATACTCTGTGAAAGAGGACCATTGGACATTGCGATATGTGCGTTGCGAACTGTGTGCCCGGTGTGCCTTGATATGTTTGTTGCAATTGAGGCCTACTTGGTGCCTTCCATGATGGCTGCCATCTCCTCGGAAGTGCTGCGTGGGATCCATCGACAGGAGATCTGCCACTGAGACTCGAGTGAGGTACCCTGACACATCCACTCGGAGAAGCGGAAAGCACAAACGGAAAGACCCGAGGTGAACCTTGGGTCCCATAGTGGTCCAACAGATGTTTCACCCGTGAAACTTATATATACAATTTGTGATAATTGGTGGAAGGTTGGCAATGTTTGGGATATCTCATGTCCATCTCATGTCCAGCCGCTACACAACCTTTCAACCACGAAGCGAAAGAGCGGGTCGTGCTTCAACCATGTTCAACCAGGTTCAACCATGTTCAACCTGGCCACTTCCACGCTTCTCACCTGGCACAGTCGGGGGGCAAACGTGGAGGACGCGAGAGACTTGGCGAACTTGGCGTTCGCCTTTGCGACCTTGTGCCAGCTGAAAGAGGATGAGCCACTGAAGGAAGCCTTGTCTGAAGAGGCATTTGAGAATGCACCAGCGAAACAGTACCAGTCCGTGTGTGTGTATGGGCTCTAAGGCTTTTGGGGGACCTCACACCACCGAAACTGGTCACTGAGTTCGGTCACCAGGTACACCAGGTCGGTCACCAGGTCGGTCACCAGGTGACCGGTCCCCCGGCTTTTTTCCGAGCGCCGAACTGGCTCGATCTCGATCTCGCTGAAGCAAACGCCAAGTTCAACTGCAGGCGTCCGGCGTCTTTTCGCAGTTCGGTTGGATGTCCTGGCTCACCCCCACGTTGGGCCCTGGGGGTCGGGTTCATCCCCACGTCGAAGCAGACCGGATGATTTTAGGTGTATTCGCTTCGCGTAGGAGCCCGCGGATGGCGGGCGAGACAGGTGAGAAACAGCAAAGACTTGATGTGGACAACATAGGATGTAGGACTTCCGAAGATAGATTGTCTTACGGCAGTTCTTATGGCAGAATATACCTGTTTGATCTTCCTGAGAGTTAGCAGCCATGGCAGGTGCTGAAGAAATTGAATTGGATCCAACCTCAATCCTTAGCGTTCTTGACAGAGGCCGGGTGATGTCGCCGATCGTGTCGACGGAAAACGGAGTTAGACAGGACCGAAAACGAAAAGCTCCATGCCGTCATTTCACAATGAAACAGGCCCATCACAGCACATGATTTTTCATGGACATAGATGAACTCATAATAACTCATAAATATATACAATATATAGATATAGATAGGGTGTGTCCCATTACCTGCAATAGCCAGTAAGATATTATCATTATCACTGTATATATAAATATAACTATAATACTATACATGGTGTTTGTTTTGAGAAAAGCTTTTACTAACCCTCGTCATCCAGTGTTACAGGGAATGGGACATACCTCAACATAGAATTTCAAATTCTACAATCATTGCGCATTGGTCGGTGGAGATCATGATTTTGCATGGATTTATCCGTAGCTCATTTATAAACAGTGTTTTGAATCACTTCATTGCTGGTCAGGTGGGTTTGGAGGCGTCAACTCATCCCTTCCTGCTCCAAAAACTCAATGAGATTCTGGCGACTTGGATGACTTGGCTGGAGTTCAATATTTTGTAAACATATAGAATGTTTGTTTTTTTAATATATATATATATGTGACTATATATATATATTAGATCAATCCAGAGGTTTTCTTTTTTTTGCAGAAGTGGACCACGATATGGGAGAGAAAGGTCAAGAGAAGCATTAAATAAATGGATTGCATTGAGTAATGTTCTCACATTAATCCCGCATGTCCCAGGATCACCTCGTCACAGCGTTGGCCACGCGAGAAGCTACTTCAGCCTGGAAACGCCGAGTGGAAGCGGCCCTGCAGGAGATGGTGTCGACCGACGAGTGCGTCCGGCCTGCAGAGTACGAGCGCCAAAAATGCCCAAGAAAAAGGGGCGCAAGCCATGGAGGCTCCAGATGATCCAAGATTCACGATTCACATTTCAGGACCCAAACCCACCCAAATTTCAAATTATGATATCATATTGGCCGTCAAAATGGTCGCGGTGCTTGTGGTGTTGCTTCGACGAGTTGCTACGCAACGACCGACGTAGCTTCGTCTACGGGCACTGTGGTGAGCCCCCCTCCCAGTGGTGTGGCGCATGCTGTGGACGGCGGGCTGGATGCGCAGGAGCTCTACCTGGATCACTTGGGTTCGGTGGGCTCTCACCTGCTGCTCTCGCGGCTGCAGATCGATGCCCCAGCCGCATGGTGACCGTGTGGTGACCGCCTGGAATTGTGGGAAACATGGAATTAGATGTAATTAGGGAATCATGAGGGAACTATGAATGCTTCAGAAATTTCTTGTATTCTTTAGAATTAGCGGTTGTCAATTGAATTTTTATTCACAACCCATGGAACTCTGAGAATATTGTCAGATACTTTCAGCAGTGTCCCAGTTTGTCGGGAGTGGATCGTTGTTTTGAACGGTCTTAAAAGGTAAGTGGTGTTCAGGTTCACGAACTGAGCAGCTTATCAATGTGAACATCACGTGTTCCAAAATTACATGGATGTCTGGGCTTTTGAAACCTATAGTAGCTTGTTTAGTACAGTGGTGCAGATCCGAGGCATCCTGAGACCCACTGAGTACCATCATAGAGCAGCCCCGGACGGAACAACCATACCACGAGCATTGACAAGCCATCAGCTTCATTCATGATCTACTGGCATACAAAGAGCATATAGAAGAGCTGCTTTTTACGGAATCTGTACCCAAACACCCCAAACCTGACACCACTCGATGGACTGGACTGTTTTCTTCTGGTGGGGGTGGGGCTGCCCTGGTGGAACAACCCCATACTGGGTGGTGCTTTCAGAGATTTTTAGCTTCATGTTCAACCTTTACTTGGGAGGATTTTCACCCACTGACTCCTATTTTTGGGTTCAGTTTCGTTGAAGCCACCTCGTTTGCGCGCCGTGTTCCGATCTGCAGGATCAGGACTTCATCCTGCGCGCCATGCAGAGCTTCCCCACGTGCGCGGGGCGCACACGCGGCTTAGATCCTCGGTGTTTTGGCCTCGTGACGGGCCACCCGGAGCGCACGTGGAGTGGTATAAGTGTGGCGACTAGTTGACTTGTTGGCCCTGCATGTAGTTGACAAAAAAAAGGATGCGATGCAACCCAATGGACTTCTGGGACTTTAGTACAGTGTACTCACCTGTTTTGTGGGTGATGGTGCTTTTCTACCATCCCCTGGATGGTGCGGTTTTCCCTTTTGTTCTCCGTGTCCATGGTTTTTGTGGAAGACAAAACAGAAAACGTGCGACGTTCTCGACCGGTCAGGAGACGCAGCGCCCACAGCAGCGCCGCATCTTCGCCTACTCCGAGCATCGCCTCCAGACGACGGACGCGACCGGCGGACGGGACGCGACCGCGGGGCGGATGCTGCGAGCTGCTGGGACAAGCTGCGGGAGGCGGAGGCTGTTGGGGCGGATGCTGACTGGGTCGAGGTCAATGCGGAGGTGAACTCCGTTATGACATGTTTACCTGGCATGTGTTTGGCATGAGAGTGACCAGTGATGGAGCGATGTGGTACGCCACATGAAGGAAGACCTCTTGGCTAAAGCAAGCATGATTTGTTTGACAATTCTGAAGACTCTTTGCAGTTGCGCTAGAGTCAGAGGTGGAGCTCGCTGCCAGGCAGTCTTGAGCAGTACCCGAAAGGTGCTCTGTTCCTCGAGTCAGTTCATTTCTTTGAAAGAAGACAAAGATATTGAGGAACAGCGATGGCCTCCCTACCAGCGATGGCCCTCGAACCAAAGTTGTGTCACTCAACCGGGGCTGTCCATGGATGTGCCAAGAGGTCATTGGACCGGGTAGGCGGCTAAATGGTACACCACCTACCCAGGAACGTGGATATCCATTGAGAATTTCGTGGATACGTGTTGGGAATTCTACGTAGGTACGTGATGGTACCTACCACTAAAAATGGATATCCTTTTAAGTTTCTTGTTTGGGAATTGCTTTACCCACTCAAATCCGTGACCTTTCTTTTCCAGTGGAAGTGAGGGGGTCAGCTTAACACTACAGTGGTTTCACAGTACATGGCCAAAAGAACAAGATCACTTTAGATGGGATCCCTTGAAAACCACCTCTTGAAGATTGAGCCATCTACTCTCAATCCACTATAAGTGGGAGGCACCTGCAAAAGGTTTGAGTAAGGTAACCTCAGCCCAAGGAGCATGGTTTCCAGGGCCTGCGGCGATGGCAGAAAGGCTGCGTGGTCTATCTTGGAGGAGTTGTGAAGGCAGAGAAACCATTGCGGTGGGTCTAAAAGTTACCCAATTCCCAATTCTTTTGTGTCCAAGTTTGTTATTTCCCTGTAGATTCACTCCTATTCACTACCATACCTGGCAACGGGCAAAGATGGGCAAGGATTCAGTTAGATCGCGGTGCGGATCGCACATTGATGTGGGATGCCCCATCGCTGCCCTGAGTCAATGGAAGAATGAGGACTGCACTGCAACCTGTTCCGCACCCACGATGTGAAACTTGTGTGTGAGACATTCAGTGGAACATGCAGTTTCTGTTGAGCGAGGAGGATGGCTAGCAAAGAGGATTATCGTACACCAGGGGGTAGATGATGAAATTCTGACTCTAATACAGTATGTAATGTGTTTCGAACACAATTCACTGGGGGTTTAGCATGGTTGGCTCAAGAGTTGTCGGCCAACAGATTGTTGCTCAACATGCTGCTACTGCTGCTGCTGCTGCTGAATAGGAAGGCATGAATTTGCCATTCTGCCAGAGTGGGGGACAAGCAGAACCGGGGAGAAACTAAGGTACATCTCCACTTGTTATCGATCAAAGAGCGGTCTCAGTCATCCTAGAAGTCACATGGTCACATGGTGTCGGGAACTTGTTCGAAGATTCGGGCACTTGGCATGTCGCGAAAGATCCAGAAAGAACAATATTTTTGAGATTTGTGAGATGATTTTGATTTGCCAAAAGACAAGATCAGGAAGATCCAGAATGTCCACTGCTTCTCTTGCTCTTGGTGACCCATGGACAAATAGATAAGACACCATCTCCAAGGAAAGACCTTGACACTGGAAACTGTGTTGAACTGCCTTCAGGTTGGCTGAAGCCCTTGACTTTGCCAGTGAACCACTATGTGGATCGCTCTGTGTGTGCCGAATTCCAAGTGCTAAATGAGATTTGTGCCACTTGGTGCTGATGCAGAGATCCACTTACATCCACAAACACCATTTGTGTGTTTCGCACTTGAACTTCTTGACACGCCATGTTTGCTTTCCACTAGACTGTGCCAAATGGTGCCAAGGTGAGGTCGGTTCCGATCCCTTTAAAGGGGTCCTGAGGTCAGACCCTGTGGAGGGATCATTAGACCAATGATACCTGAGACCCCTGTTTTGGAGGATGTGGACCTTTTCGTCCGATCACAAGGGAGGTCAAATGGGTTCACTCTCTCTCTCTCTATATATATATACATAACTTATGCAGTATGTGCTTGTGTTCTAGGCTGTATATCCTGTCACTGTTCTGGTTCAGGGGGACTACCTGCCTTGGATTGATTATAGAATGTAAAACATACTGTACTAGAAAGGTTACACGAGTATGTAACGACAACCTTCGAGGGCAGTAGTAGGATGCAAAGAGCATGTGTAGATCTCGGTGGTCGCCGTAGCAGGGTGCCTTTGAAGGTGATGTTCCCACCTGGAACGATCTGTAAGACTGGGCCCTGAACACACCCATGGTTTCTTGGGATGTTTTTAGGGTACCTAGAAAACCGGACCCAAGTATGCAAAAAAGAAATGTCATCGTGTTTGCTTTTTCCGGTACAAAAGGTCATCTGTCATACTTTAGGTTTACTACGTACAAGTTAGGACTGGCCACCAATGTTTGGATCCTGAGGACTTGGTGAATGAAGAAGCCTTGGCAGATGACATGCAAAGCTGTGCCCTCGTCGAAGGCAGGGAACACCTTCAGGTCGGTGCCGGTTCTACTACAGGTGTTTGTTTTTCTCCACCTGTCAGGTTGAGGCGAAAAAGCAGACCCTCTCTCCAACAATGGTGGATTTCTGAGCGTCCGTTCGCCACTGGAAAGACCATTGAACTCTTCTAGAAACAGGGCTCCTGGCCCACCTCCTCAGAAGGTAGTTAGACATAGACCATGTTTGTTGCAGGGAGGATAGATTCCGTGCGGGGTGTTCTCCGGAACGCCGGACCGGCGGGTCGTTCCATGTCGCGGTGTCCCGGAGCCGCTCGGCACATATTAGATTGTTAGGGTGTGCCCCAGTAAACCAGTAACAGTCGGTCAGAGGTGATCACTATTGTTTGAAAGGGAAGACCTTGGGCCTTAGTCCATCGTCGTCCACTGTTACTGGCAATGCGATGGAGCCAGGACGTGATACTTCAGCTTAGATGTCAAACTTCAATGCGCCATTGGTGTCAAGATTGCCATTGCCACAGCAAATCTGTGATTTGGTTGTCAGACAATTGTCAAAATGCAAGTTCAATCAATTGTCAGAACTAGAACATATTTGGCTTCAGGTCAGAACATATGTCAAGGCATAGTATATCAGTCTTCATGTCACTATAAATGTCTTTGTTCTTGTCACAATTGGTCCGAACATATGCCAGGGTTCTGTCGGGACATGCGTCCGGCTTCGTGGCAGAACTGGTCACCGTTTGGTCAAAGCGAGTCTTCGTGCGCTCGGAACCCTGATCGGTAAATATGCAGCCCCACGAGCGAAGCATGCGAAACCGACCAGGAAAAACGTGTTCTTGATGTGTCTCCAGACGAATGGGTTGACAAGCCGAAAAGGAATTATCCCGGCAAGAGACCCCAAACAGTGTGTTTGAGGTCTAGAGGTGTAGCAGCAGAAAGTCTAGTAGATCTAGACGCGTTAGGGGTCCAGAGAGGTGGTGGTGCTGGTGGTGGGTGGTGATGGTGGTGGTGGGTGGTGATGGTGGTGGGTGGTGATGGTGGTGGTGGGTGGTGATGGTGGTCATGGTGGGTCATGGTGGAGTACTGCGCCTGCCCGTAAGAATCCCTCAGTGTGGACACACTGTTTGGGAAAACACAACAGCAACAAGAGTCGCTGAAACAAACAAACAACCAACCAACCAACCAAACAAACAAACAAACAAGCGAGCAGCTATCTTCTTACATCAAAAGCGCGTGTTTTTTCTTTGCGCTCTTCGTTGAGCGGCAGGAGTTGTGCAGCTCTTGGTGTCCACTGCGCCTTGCCTCTCCTGCATCTCTGCGGCCCTGCAATTCCAGCCACCGGACGTATTGTGTTGGCTGAAAGCGTTCTTTGCATGTTGGTCGGCGGTTTGAAGGTTCCGCGCACGAGTAGAAGGTGGAGGGCAAGGAGGTGGAGCTGCTTTCGGTGTGTGCTCTTTTGGGTGCTGAACAAAGCTGGATCTCGTCTTCTCAGTTGTTTTCAACGAATGAGGTCTTGAGTCTTGAGGTGGTTTTGTAAGTTGACTAGGTGAAGGAGTTGTGGCATATGTTTTGTTTAATTGCGTTATATATACCAGTGACTTTGCCTTGGCTTTACCCTTTGCCTTGTACGATCAGATTCATGAACTATCTAGAACTCTACACTACATCCCCCAAACTAACATGGCCCCTGTCGGTGTAAAAGACTCCTGAACAGCGCGGGGGTTGTTTGACTTGCGACATTCATGTTTGCTTGAAAGGCCCCTGGTCTTTGTTCGTTGACGTTTTGCGGGGATTGGTTCTCCCTCTAAACAAGAACCGGTGGGAAGTTCGATGATCCTTCGGTCGGAGTCGGAGTCGGAACTGGCTCCACTTTTGAAGACATGAACGCTTCCGCACCCATGGACCAGACATGCTGTAACCCGCAACCGCTTGCACCGTCGTCCTCGAGGCTGCTATTTCCAAAGGTCCACCTGCAGTTCGGCTGTGTCCAACCCTGGAGTGAACTGCCAGGCGGCTTTTTTGGCACTCGTTTTGTGTCCTCGGTGCCACTCCAGATGCCATCCAATCTGAGTCCAGTATCAGCCTTTGGTTCCAATATGTTCCAGTATAGGACCATTTGGGGGGACCAAATTGGATACGCACTAACCCCCAAGAAGGAACCGTCGAAGATAGCATGGGACCTCCCACTTCAGACAGATGGCATCTCGTTTCTAAGATATTCTAAGTACACTCCTTGGAACCCATGATGAAAATGGATAATCGCAACATGGTCATCCAACAGGCCATGTCATCCACTAACAATGGATGATGCAAGGAAGTATAACCAAATTAAAACATCCGATGTTGAGGACCCATGTTCGCACCAAAAGGAATGTAGTCTTATGATGTTTTCCATTGGTGGGTATGGGTGTATGGGTGTGTATTATGTTCAACTAGGGAGAGACCTAAACCAAACAATCCCATGCAAATCCCGGGGGGGAAGACCCTGGAGACCTGAACAACCTTCCGATGAACCACCCAGGCGACGCGGACGCGATGGACGTCGATCCGAATCAAACCCCCGTCGTTGGAGGGTTTTGTCCTATTTCTCCAAGACAACCGTTGGCACCATGCATGTTCTCGTTATGCTTATTTTGTTCTTGTGAGGCGGTTGCGAACCTTTCAGATCCGACGAAGACCTGCACGCAGGCTGCAGTCGTGCGTCGTACGCCTATAAGTCGTGGCGCGTGCGGAAAAAAGAAGTCGTGGAATGTTTCTAAGTTTATGAGAGGCGTTTGAACAGCTACTTACCCAGGAAGTCTGTGGATCACATGTATAGGTCACCTTCTTATAAGTGGGATCGCGAACACCTGGAAATCCTCAAGTCCAACAGCTGAAAAATCCGAATCACCAGGGAAAACTGAGGAGGCCAGAGCATGTCACCGTGCGTTTTGATCGGAAGACACTGGTGGCCCTGGCCGCGGGGGCGCATTCGGCCGGCTCGGAGCCCCCACGGCTCCAATGGGGGGTGGGATCAACTCCGCACACACGCGCAATCAAATAGCTACCCTTGTTCATGTACGTCCAAATTCTACATGGCTGTGACAGCGACACAAAAATGGATGTTTGGAAGATCAAAATATCTGCGGTCCCAGAAAAAAGAATGCTGATGCTCTGACGTTCCTATGCTGAGATCTTCACCTGGTGTATTCTTGATGAGATCTTCACCTGGTTTGAGTGAGATCTTCACCTGCGCCCCTGAGACGCACTCTAGTGCACCAGTTTCTACATAACATGTATTGCCAAAGGTGCACTTCAGAACTGCCAGTAGTTACCAGCAGGAGCCCATGAAGAAACCCAGGAATTGGTCTGCCAAAAATGGACCCACGCCACCTCCAACAGTGAAGTGGAAGTGGACTGGTTTTCTCGCTTGGTCTTAGCTCTCCATGGAGTCTTTGGGCCTTTGCCCTCCTCCAAAACGGGACATGTCTCCAGGCGCTGCTGCGCCCTCGCCGCCGTCGCCGCAGCAGCCCGCAGAGGCGGAGCTGTCGGAGGCGGAGCGGGCAGATCTGTCAGAGCTGTGTCACTTGGGCAGCAGCACAGGGGATACGGATACTACTAGGAGCAAGGACGCTAATAGGAGCTCTTGGCATCGCTACTAGGAGCAAGGACGCTACTAGGAGCTCCTGGCATCGCTACTAGGAGCAAGGACGCTACTAGGAGCTCCTGGCATCGCTACTAGGAGCAAGGACGCTACTAGATTGTTATAAAAACCAATGCCTGTTGCATTGTCATGCATTTAATGTATAGCATGTGTGTTTGTGTTCCATTTTAGTGGAGCCTGGGGGTTAGGGTTTACCATTTGCAATATCGCTGTTCAGTGGGTGGGGAGGCCAAGGCATGCCGACCTGGTCGGCAGTGGAAAGGCACCGTTAGTTCGGTAGAACGCACGTATATATGCGGTCTTAATCCATGGTCATCACAGTGATGGTCTCAAGTCAAACAGAGTCGGTGTGAATCAATTTGTAAATTAGCTACTTATACTTATATATACTCATATTCTTGTTGGCTACACTGCCTACCCTCCCCAAAAATAGATAGATAGATGGATATAGATAGATAGCATTTAGCCCAAACATGTCCTTTTGTCCGATGGGTTGCCGACTTGAGGTGATATGCCGATTGATGCCAGGCGCTGAATTGGTGTGTTGCTGTGAGGTTTGCCCACTTGGGCAAATGTCTATCATAATGGCATAATGCTACAAAAAAATGTTTTACACAACTCAAACGAGGCTAACCTGTTGTGATGCAGAATGGACAAGTTGAGGATGGATCCATTCTAACAAGATGGGTCTTTTGGGGACTGGACACTGAAACTCCACTTGCGTCTCATGTTGTCCTGGGACTATGTCAGATGATCTTGAACCTTGGATGTTTTCCTGCTGAAAGTATGTTTGGCTTCCAGATCCCTCACGCAAGCAGATTGAAGTGGAACATGGCCTCTTCAAAAAAACACTGCATTCGTCTTCTTCTCCCCGGTGGGGAAACATCCACGTCCATGATGGTTGAAAAGGGGTGTGGAATCATCTCGATTTGATGACTACCAAATCTTGGGCCAACATCCTTCTGAACTTGAGCAAGTTCACGTTCAGACGCCGTTTCCAGAAGAGCCATATTATGAGTATTGGGAGATCCCCAGCAAAATGAGGGATTTTGGTCTTCTCTTCCGAACCTGGAAGAGCGGGTCAAACAACCTGGGAGGTCTTCCCCCCTTGAATACGCATCCATGTGTTTCTTTTCTTGCCCTTGATCGCAGGCAGGTGACCGATCGCCGTGGCGTTCGAACCCCCCAACGCCTCCCAGAACGTGGCGTCGGTCCCGACGCCTCCCCACACCGCGGGGCCGGGACTGAGACCCCACAGGACCAGGATGGACGAAGACCGATCAGTTGGGTGTTGGAAAAGGGATGAATGAAGGGGTGCACGTACCAGCCATTTTCCCATCTGTCCAGGCAGATCCAAGCTCATAGATCTGATGGATCTCCAGACAGACCCCGAGGAATGGCATCGTCCAGATGTGGATAAATGCCATACAGGCCATGCACTATATTTCACTATACATCCCCACCCTCTTACCTAAGGACCTCAAAAAATGTACCTTACAATTGTTGAGGTCCCCTGATAAGGGAGGTGTAACACGTCATACACTGTCTCATCGATGTGTCTACTCCACCTCCAGGAGCTGGGAGGAGCTGCTGCTTTGCCTGCAGCGATGCTCGCATCAAAGACTTGCGGAGGCGAAGACTTGGGGAACTTTGAGATGTAGGAAGACGTTCACTCAGAGTGACCATCTAAGAATCCAAGTGGACAAGACCCAGTTATACCCAGAGCAAGTAGAGCACTGAGTGCTCTCCATATATCCAGAAAGTCGGCTTTCCATTTCGATGGATTTTCGGGCACTGCAGAGCTTGAGTATGCTGTTGCTTAGCTCGCTACGGAGTGAGCCTTTCCTGATACATTCTTCGGTTCTTGCCCAAATTGATCCAAAGATATCCAATGGGCCAGATGTAGACAAAAAGGGACGGGTCTTGCATTTTTGCGCAGTTCGTTGGAACACGTTTGCAAGACAGCAGACAAGGTCTTCTTTTTGCAAGGATCCATGCATTCGAAGCTGGTATCCACGTCAATCTCACGCACACGGCAGCCTAATTCTGGTAATGATTTGGTCTTGGTGATTTTGGGGTGCTCCAAAAAAGACACTTTGGGATCTGAGATGCAGCAGCGATTTTGGGTTGGTTTTTAGATGTTTTTGGTGACTCACCCAGCCAAGTAATTACAATGACAATAAAGGAAACATCGCCTGCGAGGACTCAGCCAGCAAGTCAGCTTGGGGGGGTCTAGATGATTCACATTAGAGTCAAGATTCATAAGAATCAGCATCAAATGAAGGTCGGAACTATCAGTTCCTCTCCATCATTCTGCCCTCTTTTTTTCAACAAGTGCTTTCTTAAGCAGTCTTCTTCAAGTAAACAAAACAGCAAAGGGACTTGTTGTAGGAAAAGTGTGGTAAGCAGTGTAAAGAGAGATCAGCTCAAAAGCTGGACAAGTTGGGAAGTGAGATTGAATTTTGTCGTACGTTTGGTGCTAGTCTGGGGAGTTTGGTAAGCAGCCGAGAGAACGTATATTGAGCACGTTGGTGGTGTAAGCTGGGTAAATCATGGTAAATCATAAGAAGGACACTCAGGACCCACTGTCGGGGTGGTAGACATGAACACCCCAAAAAAAACTCAAAAAGAGGCTATCAATAGAAGCCCCTGGTCCGGGCGTCCTGGTAGAGATGCTCTTTTGATAAGAAAGTTATAAACCTGAGGTGCTGATCCCTTCACCAAAGAATCCTTCACCTGAGAGCATGGCCATTTGAGAGAGTTGAGGGTTTTGATAGGACAGTTGCAGGTTTTGATAGGACAGTTGTATCGTTTTCAGAGGTTTGCTGGTAAATTACCACTGTTGAAGTGGTGCTGTGAAAACCGTGCACGATGCGTTGAAACTCACATGCACCCTCTTCAGGGTCCAACATCTGGTTATATTTGGCTGTTGTTTTATGTGGTCTTGATAACTAGAGCTTGGACCTTCACAACTTTTTCCGGTGTGGGATTTGTTCAGCCTTTTGGGCTCTGGCTTTTGGGTCGTCTCGTTTCGGGGAGTGCTCGTTTACTCATCTCCGTTGCTCGTCGCTTCAGATCCTCCGACGGAAGCGCTGGCGCGTCCTCAGCGAGACGGTGCCCGAGCGGGCACGGCGCCTGGCGCGACTGCTGCGGCAAACGATCGACGCCCACGAAGAAAGACCGTGACAGGGGGGGAAGGTCTGGGGCGGAATCACCATGGTGTTACGGTGTTTCCTTCGCTTCCCAAATTTGGAAAAGTGGAAGAATTACCTGAAAAAAGAACTCCTTTCTGGGGGGGATTGGTTGTGCCATGTTGTGCCAGGTGGAAGCTTCACCCCAGTTCTCTCCGACGAGTTGGCCGACGAGTCGGTTCGAACTGGTGGCTCCTACTCCATTGTCCCTACCCCAAAGGATCCATGTATACCCCAAAGGATCGATCGAACGGATGAGAAAAAGTGTACGATCATGTAATACATCCCTTTCAACATGTATTGGAAAGCCACGATCTATTTGGAGACCTTTACAAAGTAGATATGACCCACCAAAAAGCCACCAATCTGCAGCCATTGTCTGACTGCAGTCCCCTGGATCTGTCCGGAAACGGCCATCCGGCTGGCGAGTCCAGGTTTTTCGGTCCCGAAGTAGCGCACGAATCTCAGCAAGCACCTAGCTGTGTTTGAAGATCCTTTCCCCATCTCCCCATAGATTTTGGCTTTGTAGATTTGGGGTTCGCCGGTCTAAACCATTTGGGGAACTTCCTGCAAAGTATCGCCTTCACAGGACACTGGATCTGGGAACTCTCTCACATACCGGTGAGCTCGCTCAGGGTGGGATTTTCTGATCCTGGGAGGGGGTGATCAGCGCCAGGCTCTACCAAATCCCTGTCTTTTGCATCGATGGATCCATCGATTGGAGGGGTTGCCAGGAGGCGCGGCTTTCTCCGCCGACCGCCCGTTCTTTCTGTCTTTTCTGCGCGGCTTTGTCCGACGGACCAAATCGTTTGAGCATGCTGGGGACGGGAGAAGGGGAAGGAAAACATGTAAAAGCCGACCTACTGGTTCCCCAACAGCAGGTGCAACTCGTTTCAGTCTGCCCAACCTCCCTGGCTCAGGAGGCCTATTGGAAGGGGCAGAAGTGTTCAAGTCTTGGAATATGAGTTAGCCTTGGAATATATTCGCCATCCTTCACTGAGAACCCATATGCATGAGGGACCTTGGCCGACCGGGGTCTGGATGCTCAGCAAGCCATGCTAATCGCGTCCTTCGGCACCGCGTTTGTCCAAGCTGTTTGACGCTCAGGAGGCACTCATGGATGTGCCTTGGACCGCCGCCTTTGGCCTCCTGAAGGCCGGGGGAGACCACCACGGGGCTCGCTCGGCGTGTTCCAAGCACGGCTGCCGGGGCCGGGGGGTTTGGCGGTGGAGTGGTGGAGCTCTCCTGAAACGTTAGCAGGAACTTCATGGACTACAGACCTCGTGGAGTTCTATTGAGCCAGTGGTGTCCCCAACATGACTCGAAGACCGCTTGCAGCTCCAAGGACCGGTGTGTCGAAAGTGCCAGAAATCATAGAGGCTTTAGGGCCTTTAGGGCTCCTGGCCTACATTTGTTTCGATGGTTGGGTGGTTTTGGGGGGTCTAAGTACCTTCTGAGGAGGTGGGCCAGGAGTTCCAGGCCCTAGTAGGGAGGACTGCCCACCAATCAATAGATCTCAATAGTTTGCACGTACATAGACATTGTATACATCATTGTACTAACCTTCGCCATGAGCGTCAGCAAGGCACGCCAGATGTAAGCATGTAAGCGTTCAGTTTTACAATAAAGTTGACTTCGTTCAGTGTTTCTCTCAGATGTTTGCACTGGGCCACCATTGTGCATATCACGTGAAAGCGACCCCATGTGCTTGGTTGAGCAGCCTCTTCGGCGACGGGCAGCGCGGCAACGTTCGCGCAGGTGAGCTCCCACACGGAAGTCTCCTTGAAGGTCACCAGCCTTTTTCAGGCTGCCAAACTGGAGGAGGTGGTGGCGGTGCGAAAGCTACGAGCAAGAGAGTGGCAGAGGGTGAGAAAGCACTGACTGGTTCGGAGGGCTATGGTTAACTTTTGGGAAGCTTTGAAACTGATGCTTGCGCCGCTGCGCCTAGGTTCATGCGAGAACTTCTCCTGGCCTCATTGTTTGCTAACGTTGCACCTGTTTTTTGATTTTTTGGATTATTTGATCAGCATATTTGAGCAGCATGTCAGTTGAGCTGGGGCAGTCCATTTGGGAACCTGTTTTTGACAAAGTGGTGATCCAATCGGGGCCGAGAGGCGGCGACTCAATATCACTTTTGTGGCCAGGGCCACTGTGCGAGGCTAGGTACAGTAATTGAGGCTGGTCATCAATACTAGGACCTGGTATGGTCCTGGTACAGTAATTGAGATGGTCATATATATACCAGGACCCCCGTGATTTGGGGCTTTTCTGGACGCTGTCACCGAGACCTTGCTTCGGGGTGAACACCCCACCCCCTACGTAACGTGGGTCGTAGGTCATCGTGTCGGACCTAATGGAGCCCCTGAGTTGATCAACTCCAGACCTTTTCCCCTCAAAATCCAAGAAGGTCTGTCAAATGGGTTCTAGCTTTAACATGTATTTGTTGTTCAACACTCATTGCAGGGAACGAGCTTTGCAGGGTTGTTCTTTCTTTTCAGACCTGAGACCGCCGGCTGAGCCGTGACCCAAAAGTGGTGGGGGGGGAAAGCTGCAACATGAGCATGCTACGAACATGCTACGAACGTCCAAGAGAGGTTAAGTTCCCCATAAAAACAGGACCCCACTGGGGTACCTATAGTCGACTAGGGTCCTTATGGGTCCTGACCCACCTCTGTTGGGCGACTGCCCACGGAATCACACCCGGTGCAGGTCCTGAACTTGGATGTGCTCTTAGGTGCCGCAGACGGGAGATGTGGACAGAAAGGACCGGATGTTCACTGCCAGGTTGCTTCCTGGTATAAGAATGGTATAAGAATGGTATATTAATATCTAGTGATTAATGTATGTACGAACAAGGACCAGGTTGATTGACCAGTGGAAGGGTGTTTCTGCCCCCAAACAAGCCCCAAATCCAACTGACGTGTGGCCCCCAAATTCAGACCAGTGCGACTCGAATTCAGAATGTCCAGACCATCAAGTTGTCGAATCCTGAATCCAGCTCCTTGTTCTGGTGAATAACACGCTTCAACTTAGAAAGTAACCGATGCGTATAGGGGTGGTGTGGGGGTTTGATGGTATTACCGATGCATCAGGTGCAGTGCTCTTCCTGCATTGCCACGTGCTCTCCTTGGGTGGAAGGCTCCGGGTAGATCGGATGGCCCGCCAGGTCGTTATACCAAGGGTGAATTGGTTCTTGGTGGTTTGGAAGGGATTGATCGGGATGAGGAATAGACACGTGCTGTCCTGGGTTACATGTTCCTACAAGTTGTGGTCACTTGTTCCTTACCCTTTGGGTTTGGGAGGTTACTGATGTTTGAGACACTGCCAGAAAATGACAGGGAGTGACCTTCTCGATTGACTCCTTTTGAGGGTATTGTCAACCATCCACCAAACAGGCTCCAGCCTCATGTTCTTCCGCATCTTAAACAGAAGGACGGCAACAAGCCACCCGTCGATGTGATCCAGTTCCACGCCTCCACAGTGAAGATAGAAGTTTGAGCTCTCGGAAGCCACCAGCCGGGTCGGAACCTGACGAATTCGCGCCGATTTCTGGGTGTGGATCCGGGTGTGGATCCCGGTCACTCCGAGTGCCGTGACGGGTCCGCCTCCGTGCGAGTCCGAGTGCGTTCGTTCGTGGGTCACGTTCGATGTTTTCCTCCAAGGTGTGTACCAGAGCGGGAGGAAGACGAGGTAGACCGGGAGAGCCCCAAGGATCAGAACCAACATGAACCAACTATATACCATTATATAACATATATATATATATAACTATATATGCCAAACGGCCCAATGTGGGGCTCCAGATTGGTGTCCAGCCGCAATGTTGGGAGCCCTGGTGAAAGCCATCCTGCTTAAGATGGACTCAATGAACGGATTGGTCGCACTTTGCCTGGCATTCTTTGCGTGACCAAGTCCTACAGGTCCTTGGTCAGCTACCTGAAGAAATACTGCATCGTTCGTGGGTTCCCCTTCTAAGTTTGGAGGTTGAACAAACACATCAATTGAGTTTGATGAAGATTGACTCCCACCCAGTGATGTCGACCCTCAACTTCTCGATTCGTCGGCGGTCACAAGGTGGTCAATCAGGTGATTGCCACCGAAACTCCACCTCCGACGTCCGGCGAGGTCGTTGCTCGAACCGTTCGCTCGTCCCGTTCGGTTGAACGCCGCCTTCGTTCTTGCAGGTTGCATCAAAGCCCTCGAGAGATTTGTCAACAGGCCGACGAGACCGCTGACGGATTCACGTGACAGACCGGCGAAGTCCTTCAGAGACGAGTGACGGATTCTTGATTCTTCCGACATTTGGAACTCACCCGTCCTCGAAATCGATCGAGTTCCAAGTTTTGACCCAGAATCGAGACAGGGCTGTGGGTCATGGCAAGACACCCTGGGAGGGACCACCGGTCGAACTGGGAGGCATATAGAACAAATGAAAAGAACACCGCGCCCAGAGCGAGGTCTAGAAAAGTGGCAAGTTGGCACCCACTGGTGGCGCTCAAACATGCTCAAACCAAACCAGTGGCCTACCAGCAGTGCCAATGCAGGTCTTTGAAGAAGACCAAGGGATCATCACCAGTGGCACCTTGGCAGTCGGACAGGGGCAGGACAGGCCTAGGCTTTGTAACAGTTGCCTCACCCGGTGATGTTCCGAGCGCCTCAAAGTGAAAGACAGGCCCGGTTGCCACCAGTAGTAGTACTGATCCATGGCCTGGGTTTGTCAAGATCAATAGGATGAGAAACTTTGTGCGGCCCCCCCCTAGGTTGGAGTTCTGACGCCCGCACTTTCGACGATGTGGCGAAAATCTTAAAGGAACGCGTTGGAAACCTGTTCGTGTGTAGTAAAGACCGACCGCAAAGCTCTGACCGTTGATAATTTCGTTGAGGGGCAACAAACCCATCGTTGAAGCCTTGGGGCTTACCTTTGGCGCTTCTGGTTGGAGCATTGCAGCTTTAACCCACCACAAAGGATTTGATGGAAGTCTATATGGCCCACGTTTGCGCGCAGCCTTCTGAAGCCTTCAAGTATCCTCCACTGCGGCGGCTCGACTCTCTCTTTTTTTTTTGCAAGGGTCCGGAGCGATGGGGAACATAATCTCGAAGCGCCTCGAAACGGAGGCGCTAATGGAATGTGATAATTAAGTCGATTTGTCTGCGGCTATATCAAAGGTGAGTCGGCACGAATTCTTTGCAAGGCCTACCCCTACTTCCACGACGGCAACCAATGGGTGTGGTAGTTCGATGGCGAGTGGTGGGTCTATGTTGAGGCACAGCGCGCACTTTTCTTGTCAGTGCAGCACAAACTCCCACGCTGTCAGTCAATTCGTTGAAGCGCAAGACTGCTGAAGGTTGCCGTTTGTCTTGCGCTTTGAATTTGACAGGCGGTCGACGAATGCGGTTGGGAGCAGGGTACCGCCTGGTATCCCTTCGATGAGACCGGCCGGTACGACGTGGACCGCTCCTGGTTGGGCGCCACGCCACCCACTCTCGAAGAATGGGAGGAGGAAGGCGCGGCTTAGGGCATTTGCATAAGCCTGTAGGCTATATGTGCCAAGTATCACGTAGCTAAAGCGGCGTTGAGATAGTTAACCCATCAACGACGCTCGTCGAGCATGGGAGGCCGCCTAAAACATCGCCGGTTCCTGGCGTGGGCGCTCTCCGAGAAGGCGCTGCGGTAAAAAAAAACTTTGAGAATCGAACTTAAGTTGACCTTGACATGCTCGGACGGTCCACTCGCAAGCCAATGTCTCAAGCAAAAATGTGGACACGGGTTCCGATGACAGTGGTCGTGCTGACAATGGAGTTCTTCAAGGGCTGACAAGGCCGGCTGGCGGAGAAAAAAAGCACAACGAACAACCGTGATAGGCCTTTTGGGGAACCCGCAGTATATAAATAGGTAACGAGCCGGCTGGCATACCTCCTGGGTGGTTATTATCACGTACCATTTCTTTGAAAGAGAACAAACTGGAGGCTTTTGGGCTTCCCTTTTGTGGCTCGTCGTTGGCTTGGCAAGAGGCTTTGGGGTGAAAAGATGTCTTGGAAAGAGGCTGTGGATCTTGGTGACCATGATCTTGAAGGTCATGATCTTGATACCCTATTTCACATAGCATGCTTAATACCAGCATTTTTGAAGTGTTCAAATTTCCACATCAACCAACCCTGAACTGAACCATTGAGTTATGACCGCTACATCTCAAACATGCAGAACATTCAGCATTGAGTTGTGTTTGTCACATTTCAGCAATCAGTTTTGCATGTTTGGTGCACAAATATCAGTTGGTTTTTGAATATTTTGAATTATGGTTTGCATAGTTCTTGTAAAAAACCCATACAAACCTGCTGGTATTTAGTGATCATGGTCTTGGTGGCGATGATTTCTTGATGATCATGACCTGGGTGGCCTTGATCTTGATGCCCATGATATTGATGAAGATTATTTTGATGATATTGGCTTTGAACATGCTGAGGATCTTGATGATCATGGCATTGATGAGCAATGTCTCGGTGAGCATGGTTTTGACGATAGTCATAGTTGTTGTAATCATGGTTTTGGTGGTGGTGGTGGTGGTGGCACCAAGATCATGATCATCAAAGTCATCAACATCAAGATCATGATCACCAAGACCAGGATCACCCAGGTCATGGTCGCCACAATCATCATCATCATCATCAAGACCATGATCAGATCAAGATCATCAAAATCACCATTAAGACTTAAGATCACGGTCATGAAAACCAAAATCAAGATCATGACCATGAAGATCATGGTCCAAGGTCATCAAGATCATCATTATCAAGATCCCCATCACGCAGACCATCATCATCCAGACCATGATCATTGAGGGGAGCTTTTTGACATTTCTTTGGTATGTAGTTTTTGTCAAAGCAAACATCAGACAGTTCCAGTTGGGTTTCACCAAGAGCTTCAAGGCAAGAGGGCTTGCTAAGCCATCTTAGGGGTTTGGAATTTGCATGTAAGATGGACTAAGGCTGCAGTTTTGGCAAGGCTGAGCATATCTACAAGCCTTGCTGTTGGTTCAAGAGAAGAGGCCAAAGTTGCCAAGCACACTTCACAACCATTTTCAAGCAAACTTCACTTCACAAGCTACCAAGCAAGTTTTACAGCGTGTTTTTTAAACTAGGTTCAGACAGGGTTTGGATTCAGTGACTGTACTAAGCAACCTTCATATCTTACTACACAGCTGCTGCTACAACAGCAGCTTCAGAGCCATGCCTCCCAGGTGGAGGTTTGAACAGGAGGTGGTCAGAAGAAGAGTGAAGGTTCTGCGAGGGGGAAGACAGAAGTTTCTTCTGGTGGTGCGCCATCCCTTTTACTTGGTGGAGGATCGGTGCAGTGACAGAATCAATGGAGGTCAAGGTCGCAGGCCAGAGATCCAGGCAACAACCCCTTGCCCTATAAGAGGGAATTCGACATATTCCATCAGTGGGTCGACAGATGGGGGGGGGAGGACAGGAGGAAGAGGTTGGAGATCTCAGTGGTTTGGCCATCCAGGCACACAAGGAGGTGGGAGTCCAGGTGCTGGTGCCCGGTTGAGAAAAGGATTGTCAACCTAGTGAGGTTGGCTTGTCGCCTCAAGGAGGGCCGAACCGGCAGAGGACTTGAACAGAGAGAACCTGAGACCATAGAAATTGAGAAGACACAGTTGGAGAACAGAGAGCTTGGAAAGATAAAAAATTGAACTGGCAGGGCCTGAGAACAGAGAACTTGAGAAGAGAAAACTTGAGAAACAAGGTACCATAGTGTACATTCTATACATGAAAGCAGAGAACTGGAAAAGACCACAATTGAAAACATAGTATTTGAGAAGAAACAACTTTAGAACAGAGGACTTGAAAAGAGAGAGAGAGCCTGAGACACTAGAAGCTGAGAAGACACAGCTTGAGAACAGAGACCTTGAGAAAAAAATGCACAGTCAGGGCCTGAGACCATATAGATTGAGAACAGACAGCTGGAGAAACGAAAGCTTGAGACAGAGAACTTGAGAAGATAAACTTGAGAAAAAAAGGGCATGTGTGTACCACAGTATACATGATATACATGATTTTCATTTTGACATGGTCATGCATAATATGCAAGTTTTTTGTGCGAAAGGAAAGAAAGAAAGACAGGCAGACAGACAGAAAGAAAGAGAGAAAGAAGAAAAGATAAAGAAAAAGAAACACACACAAAGAAACAACAGAAAAGACAAACAGAACGAAGAAATCGAAAAAGACAATAAATACAAAGACATAACAAAAAACGCACCATTAAAAAAAAAGAACACATAAAACATTAAACTAAATAAAGTTAAGGCCGCCATAAAGACTTAGAAGAGGCAGTTTGAAAACCCAAGGTTTGAGAACAGAGTACTTGAGAAGATAACATTTGAGAAAAATGACATGTGTGTACCATAGTATACATGTTTTACATGGTACACATGAAAAAAAGAAAGAATGATGGAAAGAAAAATACAGAAAGAACGAAATAAAGAAATACATAACACAAGAGAAAAGAAAGAAAAAAAAGAACGAACAGAAAAGAAAAGAACAGAAAAGAACACAGAACAGAACAGCACAGAAAAGAAAAGCACAGAAAAGAAAAGGTTAGATAGTTAGATTAGATAAAACAAGACAAGACAAGGAAAGTTAGGAAAGAAAGAAGAAATATATAAAGAACGAAAGACAGACAGAGATACATAGTTAAGTAAATTTCAAGAAAGGAAGCAAGAAAAGAAGGCAAGCAAGAAAGAAAGAACAAAATAACAGTTACAGCAATACAGAAAGTCAGAAAGACAGAAAGCAAGCAAGCAAGCAAGCAAGCAAGAAACAACAAGGAAAGAACAACAAGAAAAGAGAAGAACAGAACAGAACAGAAAAGAGAAATAGTAAAAACATGACAAATAGAAAAGAACAGAGGAAAGAAAAGAAAAATAGAAAAGACAAAAAGAAACGACATGATATACATTATATACATGGTGAACATGAAGAAAGGAAAAATATAAATAAACAGAAATAAACGGAACGAAAAGGACAGAAAAAAAAGGAAAGGGAGTAACTAACAGAAAAGAAAAGACAAGGAAAGAAACGGTGACAAGGGAAGCAAAGAGAAGCATTTTCTGGTAATGGGATATACCGTGATATACCCAAACTACCAGAGAAAGATATTGAATACCAGGACAAATGGCTAACATCCATGTTGACGTCCTGTCATGCAGTTGCCATGTGGTGTGATGGTGCCACAAATTTGAAGCTACCACGATGGCACCAGTGTTCGTCGGTATTCCAGGGTTGACCAAGACAATACTCAAAGGTTCGTCAGTCCGATTTCAATTTTTGTTTTTGGCAGCATATTGGTGGAGTAAGAGTAACATAGTAACATGTTCCCGCAAAGAACGCCTAAGCTGCAACCTCGAGGTTCAAAAACGCCGAGGCACAATCACACGCATTCTTCCGTACAGGAGGCAGAACCAGAATTTGAAAAGCCTTCGGGAAAAGAAACGCTTGCCACTGGTCTACATAAATTGATTGAAAATAATGTCATTCACTCCCTCCCAAAAGGCTACGATTCCTTTGTATAGGCAAGAACGCCGAAGTAACATGAGGGAAGGTCGCATATTAAAACCATGAAACAAGGCATAGGCATATAGACACACCAATTATGTACAAAAACATGGCCCCAAAAACATATGTTATTATGAAAGTTCCTGGCACCAGTGGTGGTTGGATTAAAATATAATATATATATATATGTTTTTGAACATATTTGAGCCGAACATTGCCCTAAAAGGATAAAGTCGCTTTTGCCCATAGGCAGAAAGTGTTGCCCCCCAAAAATATCCAAATGTATTTGCTGATTTGACTAAACAACCAAAAGAAATCACCTGCAAGCGACCATATCATGGACTCAGTTTAATCACTGGTTGGAACACGTAAATGTTGTCCATGTTCAATGCCCTCGTCATTGGTTCACCAAGACAAAATATGTTGCAGTTGCCACTCACTCATCGATCTCAATTTTTATGTTAAAACATGTGTTGTTGTTTCGTTCTCATGGGCTTATCCCTGGCAAGATGATTGTCGGACCACTTTGAGGTTGGATGCCATCGCTAGTAGATTGGAGGCCATCTGCTCCACGAACTGAGGCTCGGAACCACACGAAGCTCCACCAAGTACCGCATCCCAGCGTGGATGCGTTGGATTTTTGCAAGAGTTCTAGCGGTGTTCTCTTTCGCAAAAGCATCCGCGGGTAGAGCAGAAATTTGGGTAGACAGAGTCTGGAAATGTTTGGAACATATTACTTACTAGATACTAGGGAAGAGGTCGATGTCCACAAAAAACAGCCACCACGTTACCGCCACAAAATGTCAGCTGTCGTTAAGTTGGCTCACATGTCTAGTGTTCAGTGTTCACTGTATTCATTCCCCTCAGATGTTGGAATGTTGGAATTCTTGATATTCTATACTTTGTGGCATTCCAACATCATTCAACCTATGTGGCTGCATAGCAACATCTGAGTTCCCGCAGTTTGTTTGTTCCTTTGTGGCTGCAGTTGTCACGTCCTAAGTCACTTCAACTTCAGAACGATCGAAGGAACCGCTCAACCATCGCGTTTTCTGTGTGGCGCTCCCCGACGTTTGGCGGGTCCTTCTGGCCGATCAAAAAGAAGGGCAAGGAATCAAACCCAGACCCTCCATGGATGGAATATATGACATATTATATGCATACGTATATTTTATATACAATATTGTATAGTTATACTACATATTTTTGTTGATAAATTGTTTTTTCTGGAATAAATGATAATACACAATATTATATGATCTGGATAGACCAAACCGTGGTTTAAGACCCTTTTTCCTCTCATCGCAACCCAGTGCTTGAAAAGGGGTCCATGTGGTCCTTTGCAGGAGGGTGCATTGGGGTGGTTGAAAAGGGGTCAATGTGTGTAGAGTGGTCCCCAAATAGATAGTGGCACGGTGTCCGATACATGTTCTACGTGGGGATCTACATGTGCATGTTATGTGGGAGTCTATCCCTAAGGGTCCAGGACCATCCTGAGGAGGTACCTGGACCCTATGGGTATACATATTAAAGCTATTAAAGCCACACACCGAGTCTGCGGGCACCGTTTTCCCAAGATCATTGTATGGATGTTCGAGACCGGCTTCATAGACCGGAGCACCGTTTCCTCCACGATTCGGGTTCAACAGCCGTTTTTTTCTTCAAAGGATTTGGATGTCCCTTCTATCAACAGGATTTGGATGCGAGATGAGTGCTTATAATGTATTTTGCTCTCCCACTATGTATTGTTTATAACGTTATGTATTTGGATGTGAGGATTGCTCTCCCACTCTGGCGTTTCGACCGGAGGATTCCACTTCGAACGCATGCGACCAAACCCGCCTCTCCGACAAACCCTCTCCTGTCGAGGCTCTCCCGTCGAGGCGTGTGGTCGAAACGCGGGTCTGACCGGTGGACGGAAGGCAGTGACTAGTTTCACCAGGGTGAGTGACCATGGTTTTGCTCAGAGTAGCGAACCTTGCTCCGTTCGTAGTAAGGCCAGGAGCCCCGATCGCAGCGTCGGATCGCTCCTAGTATAGTTTCTTGTTGATTAGATTTGTCTTTTTTTATTCAGGATGACTGGATTGTGCCTCGCAATTGGTTCCTTTTCTGGATATGTCATATATTTCTTTTGGTTCCTTAAGCAAATCCCAGGTTGTTGTTGTTATTGTAGGACCGAGTCGGACCATGTTGTTTTCACAGGACCAGGCAATGCAAATAGTCAGGTCGTGTCAGATGGCCAGGTAGTTGAGATGACCAGTGCGTGGCCTTTTCCCTTTACGCGAAGAGGGCTCCATGTGGAGATTTCCAATCACACAGGGAAGGACCTTGTCCGGCAAGCTTCCTGCGTTTTTCTCCACCAGATGTGCCACCATGAGGCCATTTGTCCTGGCCGCTTATAGTAAGAGATATGTCTATGTCGGGTTCCTTTCAGCGTGCTCTCTCCGAAAGCATGCCTGCAGTTCACTAGTTAATGAGATCCTGCAGAACCTGGGACATAGAAACACGGAAATGCAAATGCTGTGGACTTCCCTATATGTCAGATCATGCTTGATAAAATTGCAGTAGACCTGCCATCTTGGTTCGCAGCCGTTCTGTGCTTACAGCTAGCTGCATGTCGCGAGAGTCACTACATCAGCCCAGCCATCAGTCATGCCATGCCAGTCAGCATTGATGTTGGTGATGTTTATCAGACCAAAGCACAGTTTGTTCAATATTCCTAAGTCAAACAAGCTTCAAGCTACTAACAGTTCGCCTCAGCATTCCTTGCGAGACCCACTCACATCCACCTTCCAGCCCACTCTTAGCCACCTCAGCCTCACCCATTGAACCCCCCGCATCACCAAACTTGCTCCGTTGGATGTACCGGCATGTGGGTGGCCAGCAGACCTTCTATCCGCCACCTAGGGGCTCTGAGGAGTCAATGAGCCTCCGAACATCGTGTTTCGCTGCGTCATTGATGTTCCTTTTTTGGGGGAGCCACATGGAGTTGCCGAAGTGCCGATGTTTTTTTCAGGTGAAACGAGAGCCACCTCAGAACTGGGAGACGAGAGCGCTTTTTTCTCCCACACACACATGGGTGGAGCAAGCCGATTGGGCAAGAACAGTGGTCACACGACAGATAAAGAATATTGAATAATTAGACTCTTAGACCTTTAATATCATATTTGTTTTCTTTGTTTCTAATATCCAACCTAATAGCGATGGCCTCCAACCTAGCAGCAAGGCGGACTACAAAGACGGGTTGGGCTGATGGTTTGCAAGAAGCCGATGACAAAGTTGAATGTCTTCCCTTGTGCAAACATCGTGTCTTCGCTTCATGAGGCTGGCTGATCCCAGCTGCACGCAGTTGCCATCACAAAGAACCAAGAAAAAGCATCGGCTTTTCTGCCGCTTCACCGTACTGGCGTCGTTTTGGGCGTTGGACTTCCACTCCAGATCTCCTCCCCACCCCGAAGGACCTGCCAGTCACCAGAATTTGGGTGACGAATGCCGGTGTTCAGGGTGTGAACACGCAGCATCCACTGGTCCAAAAAGAATCAGGTCCAGGTGGACACGACACACATGTTGACAGTACAATCATACCTCCTGAGCATGGGTTTGAAGTACAGTACTTCGAGAGAAGGTTCCTTGGAGCTTTTCAATTTTCACCCTCAACCAAGATGGTCCTTGAATGCCAACATAGAAGTGCTTATTATGTGCCCCTGACTGGGAAGACTGTCTAGCGTCGTTCACAACTTGGTTTTGCTTAGGGCCGGGCAATTGTTGTTTTCCCTATGGGTAAATCCCATTATGGTGAATATGTGTTTGTTTTCCTGGTGCGCAATTCCAAGCTGTCCAGTGTCCTTCACTTCGGGGGAGAAGAGTGAACCGATGTGCCGTGGTGAACCGGCGAGGAGGTGCGAGGCTTCCGGCCGGAGGTCCAGCTCAGCGAGGGCGAGCGCCAAAGCGGCTGGGCGTCACTCCACACGACCTGTTTGCGACTGGAATTGATGCACCTCAATGCAGGCAAATTAATATGGCATAGCTGAAGTGTTGGGTATAGGAACTATGATACAGAGAAAACCGCTGAAAGAGGTGCGTAGAATATTAATTAACCTGATTTGTTTATGGTCAGTGTTGTCAAAGGTTGACGAGAAAAGGGGCTCAGGACTTTTGAAAGGTTGTTCATCATGGCTGGAAGTCCCAGCACAGCAAGAGATATCGTTCTGGCTCAATTTGTTCAGCTGGACGTTTGGATGTTGGACGTTGCCCTGATTAGCAGTAGGCTATAGCAGAGTGGTACCAGAGTAGACCTTGAAACAGAACTGGCCGAAATCTTTTGCCTACTGTGGAGTGCGAAACCCAAGCCGAAAAGGGAGCAGTATCAGAAAAGTCCATCGTCCCCTCCAACGAGGTGCCTGGTATCACCCGTCGAAATGGTTCCCGGAGAGGAAGGATCGAAAAACACCAATACAGGCGATGGCCTCCAACCTAAGAGCGATGGCCTCCAACCTAAGAGCGATGGCCTCCAACCTAAGAGCGATGGTCTCCAACCTAAAAGGCGTGATGGAAAGGACCACCGCGGCAATGCCAAAAGGACCACCACTGCGGATCTGGTTTCAGAGTTCAGACGAAAAGAAGCACAGCCGAGCTTGAGGTGCACCTGGTTGCCCCACCAAAGCGCCACGAAGCTTCCAGAACCATTTGTTGTCCATGTCAGGGTCTATCAAAGGGAAGATTCTGTGGGTCTCTTGAGGCTTTTTGGTAGCCACATGAGGTCTACAGTCCTTCATCCAGCGCTTCGATGCCTGTGCCGGATTGGAAGCCACCTTGCAGCTGCTTCAACGTGAGGTGCCAAAAAATCCAGTTTTGCTTGGAACCTTTGCCCAACCCAGTCAGTGGATAACCTTAAGCCAGTCCTTAAGCTTTCTTGGGGAATGCTTTTTCCTCTAAACAAGAACGGTGGAAAGTGTTGAAAGCTCTTTCTGCATTTTCCCGGGCTTTTTGCAGCTCCAGGGTCAGCTTGGGTGGCTGGGGCTGGGAATCTGGATGAGAAGAAACTCAAGGAGTTCGAAGTGGCTGAAGTCTCTTTTCTTATGCTCTCTTCAGGTCCAAGCAGCCTGTCAAGTCACTACCGGAGGTCAAACAATCTTGGATCACCCGGAAATACATACCGCCCTACTCGTACGATCGTGAGTACGTCACCAATCACTTGCCTCGCCGGTGCAATCGCGGCAATCGCTGCCCGGGAGCCCACATCGGCAGGTGCACAGCTTCTTTGGCTTCCAAGCCTGCAAGGTTCCACGGCAAAGCGTGTTTTCTTTTTCGGCGCAACAAAAACGCGGCCCTGGGTGGGAAAGTACAGAGTTGGCCTTTAAAAATGAGCAAGACGAGTCAGTCGAATGGTAATCCCTGGGATCCCTTCCACCTATTAAAAAGCACGAGGGCCCCCCCCCCCCCAATGAGGAAACCTCGGTCGCATTTTGTCTAATAGGGGTTCCCTGAAAACGGGGGGTCCAAAATAGGGTCACCTGGCAAGAGTTTCAAAACAAACAAGTAATCCATGAATTTTTTGTATAACATCCTTTATCGAACTCGTATCAAAAATGCAAAAAACGATCCAGATCGAAGGGTCTTCCTTTTCCCCCTACAAAAACCTTCATTAGAATAGTGATTCTTCAGTAGACTAACAGCTAAAGCTTTTGAAAGGTGATGTCGCTGTGCCATGCGGTGTTGCATGACCTCGGTGGCAAGTGCGTTTGCGTGAGTCCCTGCCATTGGGGGAAGGAAAGCCTGCTGGTGTAAGCGCGGCGTGTCATGGTGGATAGACAGGGCGGACAGAGGCGGGCAGTTACGGTTGTTTTTGGAACCTAATAAGAAAAACCCTTCCAAAATCGGCCATGTTGGTAGTTTAGTAGCGGCGTGAAAGGGCGGTAATTTAAACACAAATATAACCGTATTTAGGGGGATCCGACATGATTTTTTAATTAGGGTCCGTTTTAAAAAAGGTGCTCTGGATTATTCCGGTATTCCCATGGGTCAGCGAAGTGGCTGGAACTTCAACAAGGAGGAAGCTCCTAAATCAGGGTCAATGCAATGCAAGTTGGTAATGTTAACTGCTGCTTGGGTTTCTGGATCGATTGACATAATTCACTGGGAACGTCGATCGTTAACATGTAGTGATTGTTTTGACAGAAAAGAACTTAAAAGGATGCAAATATGGCCAAAGCGAGCAGTTCACACTGAAGCACTGGCTGATTTGTCCATAGCAGCTGGGGTCAAGATCTTGGGGAGTGTGGTTCCATTCTGTTCCTTCCATGCTGCCATCTCCGTGCGCCAGGCCCAGGCCCATCACCATCATCCAACAAGGAACCACCACTCTTTTGCACCTATCCACAAGGTGTTAGGGTTGGTAAGTGCCCGTCAGTCATGATGTCTCGACACATATCTGCTAAGCAAATTCCTTTGGACTGATGAACAATTGTCATATTCTCACCTGACGGAAGAAAGGTGTCATGTTTTCTCTTCAACCCAGTCCGTGGATTCACCCTGAAACCACGGGGGATTGAACGTTCGCTTCACCTTGGACGGCTTTGGTCGTCATGAGTTGTGCAAACGGCAGGTGCTGCAACGCTTCACCAAGAAGTTCGGCGCTGCCGGGTCCAAGGAGCGCCGAACTCGGAGCGCTGCGCGAGCAGCGCTCACGGACCCCAAGCACTAATTATAGACCTCCAAATAGAATGAACATGTAGATCCCCACTAAGAATGTATTGAAAACCGTGCCCCTAACTATTCGGGTATCGCTATTTGGGTTTCGCGCCAGCTTCGTTTGGGCACGCGCCAGCTTGGTTGGGGTCTTTTCGATCGTTGGAGCGGAACCTTCGCGGCGGAGTTTGGCGCGGAGCGAGGGGTGAAGGTGTCGGAGCTGTTGAAGACCTGCAGACCCAGACATGTTATTCATAAAACCCTCCAAGCCCGATGGTTTTTTCACACCCGGAATCACCTCTAAGAGGCTATTTACAGACACGCCTTGGAGGTCCTGGTATATATTTAGAATCATAAGATCAATTTTCAAGGTGCAACAGATGGTGTTTCAAGGTGCAACAGATGGTGCAACCTTTGTAGTTTAGAGCCTGGACTTCTGAGGGATGTACTCTCATGAAACATCACATATTCCGTACTCCCCTTTAAAGGGATTGTTGATTTTGTTGGGCAACGTTATCTAGAGGGATATCTATCTAAGTACAAATCCTCGGGAACATTAGCAACCATGTTGCTTTTGTATGCTCTTGCCTGAACACGCGAAGGACAATCGCTTGCACCTGCTCCTTGGCAGGCGCCATCAAAATGAAGCACCAGGGGGCCTTGCGGCAGGTTATGGGTCAAAGAGCCTAAAACCCACCAAACGTTGGCGGGTTCAATATGTATCCAGGGTCAAGCAGAGACGTTTTTCTGTGAAATCTCATGGGTTGGATAATACGGTGGCAGCGGTCTCCTCCGGACTCCGAAAGAGTCCGGCAGCTGCTTAAGCAGCCTATTAGTGCAAATGGAGGTCATTGGAGGTCCACGAATAGACAGAAATAAATTCCAAGTCCTTCTCAATGAGATTTAGCTGTGCTATAGGCTATAGGCTATGCTGTTATACATGTTGGGATTACTGTAATACGATGCAAACAGATGGGGTAGCAAAACCAACTCTTGCGTTTTGTGCCGTCCAGGAATCCACTCTGAACCTCGTACATATAGGTGGGGATAGGGGGGGCACATGTAGTGAAGGACTCAGGTGTGCTACCACGGACCTGCTCTCAAAAGTGGACTTCTGAATGAATGACCATGTTCCTTTTCGAGTTCATGAAATGTGTGAAAACTCATTTATTTGGGATCATCTGGGTGTTTTCTTGATAAGGAGAACCCCAACCAGGTCTTTGGGAGGTCTCCCTAGTTTAACACTCACCCATACAAAGAGCTCAAAAATCTCATCCAATTGAACAGTGCCCAGCATTTTGGAAATTTTCCTCCTCGAGAACAAGCCTCTTTGTTTCCTTTCTCTTTTGCCGCCCACCATCGATTTCCTTCACCACACAGAGGACGCTACTAGGAGCATTTCGGGCATCGCTACGAACGGAGCGAGAACGCTACGAACGGGGCGAACCTGGCCTTACTACTACTAGGAACAAGGACGCTACGAGTCCGGAGCAAAGACGGGCATCGCAGCCAAGTCCGGAGCGGGCATCGTCGACACGCGCGACCGACCGTGGACGGTTCGCGCGACGCGGCAGGTGTGCCGCTGCGATGTCCACCGCCGACGGCATCTCCCTGGGACGTGCCTTGTGGTCCTTGGGCCGTCCGGACGCCCGAACGGGCCAAGCGAAGGGTGTGGCACACCCGGGGGTTGGAGCTCTTAAAGAGATCCAAAGGGGAAAGACAAGTAGACCTCTCACCAAGGGTAAAGCATTGGAGATTTGCTATAATCTATATAAATTATATAAGTCTAAATCATTTTTGTGACCGCCAGGAGCTGCAACCCATCCGAAGCTGTCCTATTGAACGACCCAATCAGGGTTGCAACAACCCAAGAACTAACCCACGCTGGGTGTGCACATACTGACGATTTGTTGGATCGACGCCAGATAGAAGAAAAACAGATGTCTAGGAATACTAGGAATTCCCAAGAACTAAGGTGAACTAAGTAAGATACAGATGGCATCAGAGAAGATTGGACACTGGTTTCTTGGGACCACTTCAGGATGGGGAATGGGATTTTCATCACTTCTTGAATTGGAGCATCTTGGGGTGGTGCCATCCACTTGGAATCCACTGCAGACATCGCATGGTTCCCGGGTCGGCCACCGGGCCGCATCGCGCCGCGCCGCGTCGCGTCTCGCTGCACGGGGTGAGCAAGGTCTCCACCTCCGACACGAGGCGCTCTTGCAGGTCACCGAGGGACGGTCGACTAGACGCGTCAGACGGGGACTGCACCTTCACCGATGGCCGCCCCATGACCGGAGCGTTCGGGTGTTGGATGAACCAGGTTGGCTTTGTCAAAGGAGCATGTTGCGATATGGGGGTTGACCATCGGTATCCTCAATCCTTCCTGTCACAGCAACATGAGTTAGCCTAAACTCAAGAGATGTAGACCGAGTGTTTTTTTTAGTTTGACAATTCGTGCACCTGATTCAGGTGGGAGGTTTGGGTGCACTCGAAAACATGCAACTTCTCTCCTGCTGAACTGTCAAAGATGTCGAATTCCTACATCGCCCAAGACAAGGAAACATGAAAGCGCGGTATTTCATGTTGGTGTTTGGGTGGCTCCACAGTTGGTGCAGGACTTTCATCAACGGCAGTTCAATTCTTCAAGGTGATCTTGTTGAAGGAGACTCATTTTTTTACTTGGCGTACAAGGAACACTCATGAATAGGTCAGTCCACGAGCAAAAGTCGACTTGTTGGGTTGGTGATTTGTGCCGACTTTGTGAGCCTGGACACAGTCCGACCATTTGGACCTGGACACACGTCCTTCTTGAGTTTCTCCCACGTCCATCGATGCAAGACCGGTCCAAACCTAAGCTTTCTCCAAACAAACTGGGGCGCAGGCTGGCCAGGAGGGGTTCCAAGAGCTAAATATAGGTCTTTTGCCATCAAATCCGCTCTGAATCGCTTTCTTTTGACTTCGGAAGCGTCACATAGGATTCGTATTTCACCCCGTCGCCTTCGAACCACACCCGGCCACACCCCTCCTCTTTGGAGGCGGCCGCGGCGCGGCTGCCAGAGCTCCTGGACACCTGCGGGCCCATCACCATCGCCACGGTGTGGCATGCCTTCGAGGCGAGGCGTTCGGAGGGAACCTCCCGGTGGATTCTCTTACTCGGCCACTGGCCGCTCTAGGGGGGGATTTAGATCTTTCAAGAGGAGGAGGGCGGTCATGATCGGTCATGATGTTCGGTAATTGTCTGGTATATTCTGGTATCATGAGTCGATTTTCTCAAAATGATGCTTTGGGTCTGGGTTGGTTCGTTCCTTGGATCCTTCGTACAGAATGCTTGGCTCCCAGGACCTTTTTTTCGTGTGGCCAGGTCTTGCAGTTCGAGGACGCCAAGTGCTTGGAGGCGGAGCTGTCGCATTTTTGCGCTCAATTGCCACTCTCAGAGTGGAAGAGTTCACTCAAAATTATCAATGTTGTTTCTTTTTGGGGTGGATTGATGTAAAGGTTTTGCGCAGTCCGATCTATGTAGGGCCGCATGCAGGACATCATGTTTCCCTTTGTCACATGCAGGACATGTCGTGATGAAGACATCGAACACGAATGAACATCCATGCGAAGCATGAGAATCCTCTAACGTCGTGCCGCCCAGCCCCCTCAATGATATCGACTGACGCCCCTCATCACGATGGGGCCTTGAAGGCTGCATACCATGTCTCGTCACGGACCCAAGAGCTCGCAAACGCATTTTCCCGTGGGACAGGAAGGCAGACCGGCCTAAAAGAACCTACTACGAGTTCGTTCCACATGTGGAGGGCATTCCAAAGACCCCACTCCGAAAAACGAAGACTTAAAGTTATTAAAGGTGACAGCCGCCAATGTATGTTGGCCAACGTGGAAACCCATTTTTTTTCTATCATGTTCGATCTCTTTCTTGAAACGTCAGAGTGGAAGAGGCCTAGGCGGGCCTAGCTGGGCCTAGGCTGTAGGGGAGTTCACTAAGCAATTTGTCAACCAGGCTTTCGGGTGCACAAATTGCACTCAAATCAATTGGGTATATTTTATCTTCAAGAAACTGGGGGGAAGGGCCCCTTTCCACTTTTTTGTGCAGTTCAAGCCAGTTCAAGCTAGTCAGCCAGTTCCGGCTGGCACGCTTGGAGCGGAAGACTTGCTGTCGCCAGAAGGACCTCGAGTCAAGCCGTGGTCAGCTGGTAGTTCGATCCGGAGGAGCATGTGGATTCTGAAGGTTTTCTCCGACCACACCAATGCGGTACCTACGACCACTCAAGACTGTTGTTAGGCCTGGTCTCCATTTTTTTTTTCTGGCTCGTATCGTCTTCCGGCGTGAGTTAGACGCTGCCGTTTCACGCTGTGCGGAACCAGGCATTGGTGCAAGACATGGAGAAGCGGCTTTGGGAGTGCGACCCGCCAGAGGCCGGGTCCCTCGGTTCCCTCGATGATGAGATGATCCAAAGACTCCATTGGGAAAAGGGAGCTCAAAGTCATTCCAAGGGCCGCCGTGTCATGATTTTTGGTGAGCAAGGTGGCATTGTTCTGTGCTCCTAGACCTACTTCAAGCGCATGGATTTGGGGATGGTCAAAGCATCTCAAGGCCAAAGCGGCTTTCGAGCATTCATCAGAATGACATGGCAGCCAATGCGTTGTACAAAACCTGCTGAATCTCTAAACATTCTAAACACCTCAGCCAAACCGCAAGACCTGGGCCGAGGCGCCTATCTTCAGTGCTTGACCTGCCCAAACCTGCCAAAACCTATGAAAAACACCCATTGGAGGTATGTTGCTGATCCGGTTCAGAGGCCATTTCAGCTCCACGGTTCAGTCGTAGACTGACCGAACAGCCGAAGACAGAGTGCCCGAAGAGAGCGAATGCATCCCATTGGAGTGTGTACTAAGCGTCCATTGGAAGCCACTGCAGGGTTTTGTACCAGAATATGACAACAAGTCCAGTAGGCAGAATGAACTGAACAGCTTTGCCCAGTTTTTTCACGCTGCTCCTCCTGGTAGGCATCCTATTGCATCCTTCCAGTCAGACTGGGCCAGCTGGCAGGTCTCCATCGTCCTACACGCAGCAGCACAGCTGGCCGTGCCCAAGCGTGAAGGGCTCTTCGAGATGCTCAGCTGGATGTTGGGTGTGCTCATTCGGAGGCGGTTTGGTGCCATCCAAGTGCAATGTCACAAGATCACATCCATGTTCTATATATGTGTTTGTTCAATTCCGAAGTCAATATTATTTTAGTGAGCATTTGTGTGCTATGTTTCATCACTGTTATTTGTTTCCATCGTGTCGCTTTTCCATGCTGTACTCCGCTGGAGAGGTGGAGAAAAGTGTAGAGGCGTCGACCTGTGAACACGGTAGAGGCGTCGTAGCCTTTTTGTGTCGTGCCTGCTTTTTGGGGGGTTCGCGTCATGTCCCATGTTTGGGACTATACGGACTGGAGGGTGCAGGATCCTTGGAATCGTTTCGTGGAGTGAGAACCACCTGCATGAATTGGCATATATTTGTAGTGTCCCAAAAATATATAATATATGGTATAGTCAATGTACTCTGGGAACGTAAAACGCCTATGTCAGTCGGACTCTCGGTCGGAGACTTGGACCCATAGGATTTCTCAAAGACAGAAATCCTTACCTGTGTCTTTGCAAACATCGCTCAGGAAACTTCTTGAGCACCTTGGCTTTGCATTTAATGCAAAGCACTCGAGATGGGACAGACGAAAGATGGGACTTGGAGAGGATGTCGCGCTGAAATTCAGCCCGTCGGTTCCAAGTCAAAGTCATCGCGCACTTGGAACATCTTGGAACTGGCGTCTTAATATTCTTTATCCATGTCTCAATATCTCGCATCTCTGAATGTAATTCATGAAAATCCATCCAAGATGGTTTGGAATGTGGCGAGCCACCGCCCGCCCCACGCCCGCCCCACGCCCGCTTTCCACGTGGCGCGTCCGGTATGTCCAAAACAGCGGGAAGCAGGTACGTCCGACAGCGCTCGGGGCGCTTCTCCGCACGGCATCTGGCCGTGTGCCTTCACGCAGCGGCCAAGGCGGGTGACCGTCTCCGGATCGGTGTCCGGTGTCGGTGGCGGCCCTGCCTGTTATGGCGTTCTGGGTAGAGTTGTGGTAGAGTACTCGAAAGTCACAAAAGAAGTGTTATTCATAGTATTACTGTATCATACTGTATCATTTTGTTTTAGTTCTCGATCTTTATAGGGTGCCAGCGCAGCTCGATTCAAAGAGTACCAAGTTTGGGGTCACAATCACGGAAAAAGTAAATTTATTTGCTGACTTCTTGATCTTCTTGTGTAGTGTCGTTCAAGGGAGAGATGCACAGGAGTACAACTCTCCCATTTGGCTGGTTTTCAGAAAGGATTGAAAACTACCCTACCGGCCTTTTACTAGTGGATGAGAGTATTTGTGGTTCAATACTTAAATGGATGTATGAACACATCACGGTGCTTTCTTTGTACGCATGTACTTCTTTTTGTTATCCCTTTCCACCACCTTTCCACGGCAGGTCGGGCTTCGGGATGAGGCCTTGTGTCAGATGGTGACCGACCGCTTCCGTCCCTCAGCTGGCCTGGCCGAGAAAGCTCAAAAAAATGCTTCTGTGAAAAAGGCGCATTTGCCCCCCACCAAAAGTAACCCCTTGGCCAAATCCTTCAGACAAAGCAATTCAATCATGAATCATGTCTTAATTATGATGATGGTGGTCATGGGAGATAGGCAGGCCTTGCAAGGCGCCAGCTTATTCCAGTACCAGCTTGCAACTACTGCATCTTAAAGTTTATAGATAAGTTTAGCTTGGGTATGCTTGGGTCCTCAACAAGGAATTCGCAAATCTAACACACCTTCCGCTCCTCAGAATGTTGATTCTGGTGTTCCCAATCAGTGAGGAACAACAAATTCCTCCCACCAAACATGGAGATGCCATGCACCGCTTGGCACGCATACCCTCCGCTCGCCTCCGCCGCTTTCTCCGCTGTGTCCGTCACCCTGCCCTGCCGAAGAGTCCAGTTGACGCACACGGGCCACCTTTGTCACATGGACAAGATGGATCTGGTCTTCGGTTGGAAACCCACACCCTGAGAGTCAAAGACTTTCTATAGAAAAGACGGTCTGACTTGACTAGGGTACCTGAAAGGGAACTTCCTGTATAACCGTTTGATAGTCTGATGGACACCCTGCGACTCTTTGTTCCCGCCACATTAGATTTGCCCCAAAAGCCGGACTCTCTCTCCAAATCAGAGTACGACGTACATGGCTACTTCCCTCTTTCACCATGGGCACTGCTTTGGGTGTTTTCGAGGTGCCCACATTGCGGACACCGATGCCTTAGCTTTGACCAGCGCGGTCTATGCCTGTGGCCTAGTGGCGCCACCTGGCTGATGATTGGACAAAGGACAACCCCCGCGGCCCTTTGCTCTGTTCGTAGCATCCGTGCTCCTAGTAGTAATGCCGCCTATAGTAGCATCCTTGCTCCTAGTAGCGATGCCAGGAGCCCCTAGTAGCGTCCTTGCTCCTAGTAGTAAGGCCAGGAGCCCCGAACGTAGCGAACATGGTTCCTAATGGGTTTCACCGGACTCTCAGTGCGTTTCACAGGGCTTCGCGCCGTTTCCCGCCTCGCGGGGACGGTCGGGGGTGGCAGTCACCGGTCTCAACAGGGAGACACCTGTGAGAGCTTTCTGGATTGTTGCAAATTGGCACCAGACTGACCGTGTTTGGTCAACTTAATGCCTATATATGCCTATCACATGTGTATGTACTCTATATATAATATTGCTGAGGAAAGCATCGTTCAGTTGATTTGTGCAGGTGCTTCTTGTTGGCTTCTGGAAGGTCCAAGCTCCCCACAAATAGAATCGATTCTGGCGGCACAGTTTTCGTTTTGGAGGGATCATGGCTACTACGGTCTCAAGCTGAGCATTAGATCGTCTTCTCATGTTGGCGATGGCCGGCCTCGTTCCGCCACAGCTCCTTTGTTTGTTCTCTTGTTTGAGTCCTCATCAACATTCACATTGCCTTGGGTTAGTTGGAGATACAGTAAATACGACAATATTAAGACAATATTAGATATATAGATGCGCACAGACAGAGAGAGAGAGAGAGAGCCCGACCAACCACCAGGGACACTCACGCGCTCACCGGTCCAGTCCTATCAGTTTTTGTTTAGGTTCTTTGTTTGCATGGGAATAGCGGACAACACATCAGGTACTACATGCACGTCATGTACTTCACCGTCAGGTACTTCCAGCCCGACTTTTTCGAGTCGGTGGCAGCTTGGCTGCTTCGGCAGCTGCGCTTGGATCATCGGCGGATCGAGTCGCAACAGGCCGTGCTTCGGGGCGCTCGGTGGAGCGTCGTAAGGACGCGTGGCTTGAGGCGATGGCAGAAGGGATAGCATTCTCAGTGCGCAAAGACTTGTGATTCAAGACCAAAGCAGGGCACATCTGCTGTTTTTTCACTGCGTTGGAGCAAGTGTTGGGGCAAGATCGGCGATTGAGACACAAGGGCGGCGTTGGAGATTTGGCGTAGTTTTGAGACCAAACTCAGGTTACAAGTTCATATCAAGCCCTCTACATTACCGAAAGAAATTCAGTCCTCGCCCTCACTCCACGCATCCAGATCTCCAATATGGTCTACAGCTTTGGCAAGCTTGGGTTCAAGTCTGAGCAGCTCTTGATGGCATGTGCGCAGAATGCCATGCAGGCGTCAGTGGGGTGCCTTTCATGGGCTTGCAAGTGGGAGAATGAACCCGAGAAAATGGGGAGAAAGCGCTTTGAACATGAGGGATGAACATGTAACATGACGAACCTGCACAACACCATGGTAGTCCCCCTCACCCACCGGGAAGTCCACCCAGCCACATGCCACACTCCCCATACTCGGAGGAGTTTCAGTCCAGGACCAACAAACCACAAGGCTCACCACTGTGAGTGAAACAGGCGTGGCCCCGCCCGCCCACACACCCTGCATACATTCATCCTGTAGAGATGGATCATGGATCAATGAATTATGAATAAACCATGTCATACCACATAAGCATCTCTTGTTCAGGGCTAGCTGAAACCACAATGGCCTGTTGAATTCTTCAACTGCAATCGTTGCAGATGACCTCATTTCCCCTGATTTTCCAGGTTTAACAAACCTGCAACTGGAACAGGATTCCCTTTGATTCATCAACCAACTTTTGGACTCTATATTCTGGATTCCAAAGGTTCGATATGATATAATATAGATTCTATATATAGATGTGCCTGAAACAAGTTCAACCATCCATCCTTTGCCCAGCCCATTTCAGGAGTTCTGGCGCTTTAAGCCACAGGAGCTGGATAACCTCACCTACGGCACCTAAGTTCGCAAGCAAGCCACCCCGATTAGCACTGGCGGCGGAGTTTGGATTATCAATTTGGGTCAAGGCCGATATTTCAAGTCCGATTAGCGTTGATATACTGTATGTCTTGTCGGGATTTTGCCCTACAGTCCAGGAGTCCACTGCTGAACTCATTATAGTGCCATTGCCTCGAGTCTTTGGTATTTTTCGGTACTAAGGCATGGCATTACTGAAGTGGCGCCACGAGCCGTACCTCAATGCTCTGGCACAGCATTTGGTGGAAGGCGGCAGTGGGCAGTGGGCGTCCACGAGCGAAGCCGGCGAAGCGCAAAGCAGTTGACCACAAGTTCTAGTTCTTTACCAGGTGAGCCCAGAACCTAACAATTTGTACCTAGCACTTCCAATGGGTGCCGAATGGCACAATGGAGGCCTATAAGTAGGGTAGGGTAGTCTAGCCAGGACACCCAGACAGGAGGACCCTGGTAGGTTCCTTCTGAAAACATCGGCTTTCTGGCAGGATCTGACTTATCGTTTCTTTCATCATGGGCATGTTCTTTTTGGGTCGCCGATGGCGTCGCAGGGAGCTGGAACTTGAACTGGAACTGGCAGGAAGGTCCTGATATCCTTGAACAACAGTGCTTTTGCGACTTGTACTACCGATATAAATATATTTATATAAGTAATAAATATAACTATATATAGAGAGAGAGCCACCAGGTCATGTGCGCTGAAGTCAAAAGACTGTATTCTGTTCCAGTGAACTTGAAGCAAAAGACGTTCCCTTTCAGGTACCATAGTCACGTCCTTTCTTTAGAAAGTCTTTGACTCTCAGGGTGTGGGTTTCAAACCGAAGACCAGATCCATCTCATCCATGTGACAGAGGTGGCCGTGTGCGTCAACTGGACTCTTTGGCAGGGAGGGTGACGGATACAGCAGAGAAAGCGGCGGAGCGTGTGAGTGCCATGTTTGGTGGAAGGAGTTTGTTGCTCCTCATTGATTGGGAACACCAAAGTCAACATGACCGGGAAGCGGAAGGTGTGTTTGATTTGCCAACTCCATGTTGAGTACGAAGCAAAACTCTAAGATGCAGTCATTAGTTGCAAGCTGGTGTAAGCTGATGCTGTGCAAGGCCTGGCCATCTCCCATGACCACCATAATTAAGTCTGATTGAATTACTTTGGTTACTTTGGTTGAAGGATTCTGCCAGCGGGGTTGATGGCCGAATGTATTTAGGCAAAGAATACATACAATCAAGGACTCAAGGACCATCAAAGGGGTGATGGTACTATAAAGGGTTGGGTGCTTCTACTTCTTTTTGCGTCGGTTCTCTCCATGCAGGTGGCTTAGGCCCTGCGCCTTGGGCCCTGCTGTCCTCGGGATTAAGACATGATTGTAACCAATCTACATCGGTTTCTCACATCAGTTGAGGGAAAGGACCCAGCCTGATGAGCTCTGTAACAGGACCTGGCATTTCGCCCCCTTCGATGGAACATCCGTCGATGCCGCACTCCCAAAGTCTGGACGAGTCGGATCATTTCTCTCTTAGCTTTTGGGAAAGGCCTCCATTCACAGCCTCCAAGCTCGATTCATCGAACGGCTTGGGTCGGAAGCTCCACCATCTCCAACCTCAGCTGGAACACAGGAGCGACCACACGGGAATCCACCCAAGCTCAGGAGCTTTGTGAAAAGTGCTTAGTTTGTTCACCCTCTCCAAACCCGAAGATCTCGAAGATCTCTTCTCTCTGAGGATTGCCAGTCCTTGGTCTCCATGGCCTATTCCAGTGCCCTCTTGGGCTATGCCAATCCGGTGCGGTGTGGCAACGTGGGATCCAGAGAGTAGACACACAACGTGGGAAAGCAATGGAGTGACCAAACTTCTTTGATGTTTGATTGGAGAACAGATGTTAACACAAGGTACATCAGGTTTGATTGACAGGTTCTCAGCAGAGTGTGCACCACTTGTCATCTTTCAATCACTTTATTGCCAAGCAAGAGACCCCAACAAGTCAAACTTCTTCAGATTTTTCCTCTTCCCAGAGGTCTTTGGGTGGCTCCACCCTATGTTCAGACTTTGCCAAAAGAAGCTCAGCCCTTCACTGCTGTCCTCAGAGCTCAGCTCTGTGTGTCACCCGTCACCCAGTGCGCCGACAAACGTCGCCCCACATGTCTTCGGCCAACCAACCTGCCATGAGCAGCACCACAATGCCAAAAAGACCCTGCAAGAGCTGCAAGAGAACATCAACAGTATCCACAGCATCCTTCAAACAACAGAATCAGGAATCACTAAAGACATGTCCGGCACCCTCCAAAACGTCATGGATTGAGACCTCTTCGGGCCTGACAACCCTCTTTAGGACTACTCTGGAGACCTCTCCATATCGGTTTGGACTCCAACCCCACATGGGATGGCTGGCATGTCCCTAATCGAAGGCTGACAGAACCGTGTATATAGACCCCCAAATAGATATAGATAGGTAGATCCCCACTTATATAGAAATATCGTCTTGGACACCGTGCCACGAAGACTGTTTTGGGGAACATCTTTCCGGATCACCTTCAACAAAACCCACCCTCCGAAGTGACACGCCGCATGTGACACACCATCCTCCAGGTCCCGTTTCGCCCGCCCCTTTCGGGTCGGTCGCAGGTGATGCTCCGAGCCTTGGGCGACCAGGCGATCCCCAAGCTGCTGCGCTTCAAGGCGCCGGGTCTCGACCGGACCGGACCAGAGCTTGTGATGGAACACGCGGAGGGTTCCGGTTCCATCACATACTAAAACGCCAGGCCGTTTTTTGGTATGTGATGGACTTGAGTCGAGTCGCTGGTGTTTTTTGTTGCGAAGGTTCGAGGGGGTGATTGAGTGCATTTTTGGGGATCAGCCTTAGCGGCTATAGGGATGGGGATCAGGATGGATGATGTGTGATGTGCAAACATTGACATATGTGTCTTTTTTGTCAAGATTTGATATGTGACCCCATGGATGTTCAAAAAGCTCCTTGCAAGAGAAAGTGTATTAAACATTTCTTCTGGTATCTATCAGAGACCACTCCGGCTGGTTTTGAGGTTTTGGACCTGGCAACAAACGAGGACTGGCTGAACATGGAAAGACTGTTTGGCTATATGTTTTTTAATTGATACGATCAGTGCTGCGATGGGTTCTCAACACGCTTTCAGGGTGAAAAGGGAGGAGATGTTTGTTTTCGGCACGGCCTGGTCTAGACATGATTCTTTGGAGAATGGACTGGTTGGGTCGCTGGTTCCGCGCCGCCCTGTCTCGCTGGGTCGCTGGAGACGGTCGGACCGTCGCATCGTGCCACGTGGCCGATCGCAGTCCGTGGGGATGGACGACTAGAAGAAACCGACACGCCAAAAGCACCAGCAGAAGCACGAAGAAAGATGAACAACAGATAACAACAGTAGATAGACATTCCTTAACATAATATATATATATATATATGAAAAGATGTCCAACACATTTCAACACCATTTTTTCGAGTGAATTCACTGAATTCCACATAAGACTATTTCCATCCGATGGTCTCACCTTTTTTTTTGGGCTGCAAAACGAAAACGGTGTCAGGCTGAGGAGTTCTCGATCATGGTGTATTCCTTGGGGGTCTTGAACTTCAGGCTGGAGACTGGGACATGATATCGTTGAGATGATATATATATATCATATGATAGAATATGGGAATTGTAGATTGGGTCTTACTAAGAGCATCCTATTGCTGGACAACCCTTCACTCACTCCCACCGATCTAAGAATCAAAACCGGCCGAACGGTGTCCCTGTAGAGTTTGGTGGCATGGAGAGGTGTCAGCTTTACTGTACTGTTACTGATACTATTACTATTGTTATTCCTATTACTTATTACTTATTACTTATTTCTTAGTACTACTACTACTTCTACTACTACTACTACTACCACCACCACCACCACTACTACTACCTCTCTACCTCTACCTCTACCTCTACCTCTACCTCACTACTTTTACTACTGTTGCTGCGGCTGCTACTACTACTGGAATATGTAGTTTGATCTTTTTTGATACTCCAGGAACAATCTTCTTGGTGCGTTATCCAATTGATTTTTGGGATGCCCGTTCCATGGAGTGCTAGGGTGTTGATTCTTTCTTGCCAGTGAAGTGACAGCTGGCCAAATGCTGCAGTGAATGGACTGTTCGATGAATGGATGCAGAAATGGGGATTCCCAGACACTCTAATTATATGGGACTGGAATCTATCAAAATCAAAGTGTTTGGGATTGAATACCTGGAAGTCTACGATGCAGCCTGCCTCCACGTCTCGAGTAGGCGAGTTGGCGCTCAAGTGACGGTGAATGACACGATGGGGTCTGCGGTTGGCTCAAGGGTCTTACTTTCGCTACCAATCTTTGAGTCAAGCCGGATGAAACCTGTGACTCCCCTAACCTTGTGATCTGAGCTCCACTTGCAGTGTTTTCGACTTCGCCCCCGGTCACCGAGTCAAACGCGGCGCCTTTATTGGGCGCGAACGGAACGTGGCGGTCGTGGAACGACCGGTGCAGGCACCACGATTTGCTGGCACACGTGGTGCAACTGGTGCCTGCAGCTTTGCCCAAGTTCACCACGTACGGAGCCCAGGATCATGTAGAGTGGGGAACGGCACTTTGATGATCTGGTGAAGACATCACCTAATCCTGCTGCAAGGGAACAGGTCGGAGCATGTTTTCTATGGGATTTGACGCTTGGGCCATGAGATTTGGTTGCCCAGAGGCAACAAACACTGCTACATGTTTTTCTTCGGTCCAACACCCTGGTTGTGATGGTTAAAACCCGGCGAACGAGTTGCGTCCTTGCCCTTGAGTGATCCACAACTGACGTTTGGACCCAAAGGGCAAACTGGATGTTCCTGTTTGCTCCGAAAACATACCAATCGATTGCCTCTGAAAGGTGAGACCTGAGAAAAAGGTTCGGCCTCGGTGGAAAGGCCCCATTTTTGTGCCTTCTAAATGTTGGAAAGGCCTTGAGGAATTGAGCTTCTAGCGGCAGTAGGTAAGTTCTGGCGGTTGTACTATTTGGTACCCGTATGGAGGTGAAAGAAAGGCTCTTCCTGAATCACCCGCAAGTGCTGTGGCAAGTGTTGTGGTCAGTGTCCAGGGATATTGATGGGTAACCGGTAGACGGTAGACACGTTTGATCCATCAGCAGAAGGTACACCTCCACGTGGAGGTGTACCATCTACATTTGCGGAACAAAAAAAGATGACATTGCACTACCTCGCTTTGGGGATGGTGCACCTCAGCAGCACAACTTCCTAGCCTAGTATGGCAGTCAGCAGCCTGGTTGTGGTGGTTGAGGAAGGTTTGGCGCTCCTTCCTTCAAAAATGGCTGCCTTCCTTCGCATTGGCCGAGGCAAAACATGTCCAACCTTCTGCACGGACTGGGACTTGTCCTGCCCTCAGTTGCTCCAGCTTTTAGCTGTTTGGAACGGTTCATTGGAGATCGACCCGTCAACCCCAACAACATTGGTCCTTGCGCTTTTTTTTGGATGGTTTTTCCTGCATGGCATCCACTCCTTCAATTATATAACAAGTAATTACGTCCTGATGTCCTGATGTCCCAGTCAAAGTTGCGGTCGCTTCCTGGGCTCGAGATGGCTGCGGATGTTGTTCGATCCTCTCTCACCTAGCTGCCGACCTGCTGCATGTCGGAGACACCGAGCTTCGACCATGAATCCATGGGCCTTCCTGAAGATCACACCTCCTTCTCGGAGGAAAGCCGCTACAGCGAAGCCCGTGTTTCATGGCGTCAAGATGTGATGAATGAGAGGTCTGAGAATCCTCAGAGTCCAGAAACCTGGCTGGGATGTTGCTAAAACACATATTGATTGTTGATTTTGCATTTGAGTGAATCCCTTTCTGAGGAATACGTGTGTGTTTTTTCCCGCCTTCCTGGCAAGCAAATGCAAGGAAAGCCCGGAGAGTTGGCCATCCGTCACTTCAGAAGGGCTACATCCGGTGACGAAGAGCGTGACTTCGGTGTATCCCCAGGTGCTGCAGTTGGTGACCTCAATGCAGTTGACACGACCCGAGATCCTCCGAGTGACGCCTGCATATCGGGCCTTCCAGACTCCCGTTCTGAAGGTCCGTCACTTTGGGGTTTTGGATTCCAAAGGGCAGAGGTGGTCAGAGATAAGTCTAATTAATCCGGTCCACCTATTAAAAAACACGCCCCCCCCCCCCTAATAAGGAAACCTCGGTCGCATTTTTTCTAATAGGGGGTCCCTGAAATCGGGGGGTCCAAAATAGGGTCACCTGGGAAGAGCTTCAAAACCAAAAAGTAAATCAGTAAAATTTTATACAAAATCCTTTATTAAACTCGTGGTAGAATTGATGCATAAAACAAATAAATTGTCCGAATATATGCCAGAGAGAATTCCGGAGTGTATGCCAGATAGAATGCCAGAACATATGCCTGATAGGATGTCAGATTATATGCAAGGGAGACACTTCCTTTGATGGCAGAACACATGTCCGAATACATGGCAAAACACTCATCAGGACCGAGTTCGGACAATATGTCGCAGCGCACGTCAGACTTCATTCATGGCAGGACAAATTAAATTAATGTCAGAACACGTGCCAACAAGGACGTCAGAACACAGCCTAAAAGATGTGCCCGCTTTTATGGTATTTGATGCGCCTGAGCACATACAAACAAGCGTCAGCATGGCGGTGTGGCCTCGGTCCGGTTCAGGTGCGGTCCAGTGAAAATCTTAGTAGTGGCCGAGCCGTAGTGCGGTCCTTTGTGCTCGCGGTCCTCCTCGCGGGCGGCTACAGCTTCGGCTGCAAGGCGGATTTGCTTCATCGATGATGCAAACAATACTGTTTCTGACCCAGCCACGTTTCTGTTGTGCATATGACCGTTGACAGGTTCATGCTTCAGCGCTCTAAGCCGGTATTGTAACCACTAGAGTGGACAATCACAAATGACATAGCTTTTGCGAGTATGGACAACCACACAGGTCTGTTGTGTGATCCCTACTGGGTGTGTTGAGCATAGACCCTTAAGGGGGGGGCCTCTCAGTGATCATTCGTGTTGCCAGCCACCTTCTTGATCAGCCGCTTGCTCGAGATTGCTGACACGATGCTGCAGAGCACACTGAAATTACATTTGAGAATGTCATTCCATGTGGCTAGTGTAATCGTCTTTAGGTTATAAGTTATAAGGATTCACTTTTTTGTTTCCTTCTTCCTCTCCTGCTGTTTCTCTTCTTTTTCTAGGTTTCTCTCGAGGCGTAATTTAGGTTTCTTTCATGTCATGCTGCTAAGTAATCACTTGTCGGTCTCACACTGAGTAATTCACGAACGGTCTTGCTTTCTCTTTTTCTGGATTCTTTCGTTTCTCTCGCTTTAAGGCTGGCCCTCGGGCTGGTGCCTTTCACCCCGCACACACCCCACATTCTTTCGTTGCTTTCTTCTGTTTGTTGGGTTTTCTTTCAGGCTTGTTAGGTTGCGTTTAGGCTCATTTAGTCGATGCAGTTTTCCCCCCCCACCGCGGAGCAAAAAAGAGCGCCAGGGAGCGCCGATGCGGCGCTGTGTGTGCGTGTGTGTCACCTCCTGTATCCAAGGGAAATGACCACTTTGCTAAGTAACCTACCATTGTACAGACTCGCAGGGGGGGCAGCGATCCTTTCAGCAGACACTGCCTAACAAAGACACTGCTGATCGGATATGATATTCGGAGAGGACGCTTTCTTAATGTACCTGCACAAATTTTAATTGGCATCATCGATGATGTACACCACATTGTTTCTGACCCAGCCACCTTTCCGTTGCGCATATGGCCGTAGGGCTCTAAGCCGGTATTGTAATCACTAGAGTGGACAATCACAACTGATATAGCTCTTGCGAGCATGGGTCTAAGTGTGTCGATTTCTCCAAGTTGACACTGCTGAAACACCGCCTGCAAGGAGATGGCCTTTCAAAGGTTCTGACCCTCCTTGTGCTCTACAACGGTCCACCCGCCATTTGCTGCGGCTCTTTCATGGCCGTACTGACCACGATGCTCTTTCCGCTTCTGCCTGATGTGCCTGGCCTCATCCGAATCCCTCACATGCCGCACCTGGAGTTTTCTCTTTGGTCCTTGTGCACTGGCTTTACTTGCCCTGTCTTGGCATTTCTTATTTGGCGCCCACAGCAGCGAGTCTTCTTCGACCGGATTTGTATCAACCAGATGGACAGCGGAGAGAAGCAACTTGTGCTTGCTGCTGGAACATTGTTGGTCATTGGCTTGCTGCCTGCGCTGGCGGCTATCACGGCCTTCAGGAGAATCACGAGCAAATCTGATCTGGTAGCCAAATTTGTTGTCTTTGGTATTGTAGTAACACAGCAAGCAACTTGTATTGGTTGATAACGGTGCCCTGTGGTGTGTGTGTGTAGCCATAAACGAAGCAATTTTTCTCTCCAGACAGGGTAGGTGAGAGCCTCACTTTCTCTTTTGGAGCCAGGAAATATTTCCGATCTGTGGATGTGCTTGAAGATCAGCTTCGTAGAGCCGATTGGAATACCACACGATGTACCTGCTGTGATCATGGGCATGTCGCGCCCGACGGGCGAGTGATAACTTGCGATCGGGTCGCCGTGAAGGAGTGCATCGAGATTTGGTTTGGAAGCCCTGAAGCCTTCGAGCAGTGTTTGCAGTCAGAAGTGCTGGAGACCTTGACCTCGAAGTTGCGAAAGGGCGCTTTTACCAGGGGCTACCTCCACGCCATGACGTGTCCCGTTCTTTGGGCCTTCCAAGACATTTTGGCATCTTGGGTACGGAATGCTCAGTGGGATTTGGCACTTGAAGCTCTTCTCTTTGGTCTTCTAGAGTCTTGGACAAAAGCTGGTCACCGGTTCAACCTGTTTGTGTATTCAAATGTTTTTCCACAAAGAGACCCTGACAGGTCCCGAAAATTTTGCAATGTCTTCCGGTCTTATAATTATATAGTATCCGTGTCCGATAATGTATATCAGAATTAGTGTATAATATACATTAGTTACATACTCCTACCTTTCCTTCCTTCATGGTTTGGTAATGATCCTTTGGATATGTATATATTTATATATGTGTTATTCCATGCTTTTGCGTCCAAAGTGAGGTGTGGTGGCTTTGGATTCCTTTGGTGTTTGACTGGTTTGTGTACTTTGCACGACAATATCAGCAAAAGGCCAGCACGTTTTGGCGCGACTTGCTCCAAAGCATCAAAGTTGTCCTGCTGACCTTGCCAATGGTACTTGTTTTTTGGAGCAATCTACTTGGGCAACCACTTTGTGACGAGTAAATTTTTTGGAGCAAACAATTCCTATGTGCCCTTATTGACGTTTTTCCTTGCAGTGCTTTGTGCAGCCGCAATCTCACAGCTGATCTTCCATGCAATGGCAAGGCCGGGAGCACGCTCGGTGAAGCAATGACCAGAAGAAAGAAGCGCTCGTTCACCGCTCATTTTGTATGCAATGCCCTTTCTTCAGGATTCAGGGATGAAGAGAGAGAATCTATGACCCCGCAAGTGGTCGTGAAAGCAAGTGAAACCTTGTGATCCCTTGAAAAACACATGAATCACCCGATCCAGAGGTGCGAACTCTTCATTGAACTCGTGAGCGAACTCTTCACCCACACGGTGAAGATCCGTCTCCGCCCGCGTCAGCCAACCGCTCGTGCAACCCGACCGCGCGCGCGGGTCTCCGCCGCAAGCCGTTCCGCTCGTGCATGGTCCTCCACCGCCGAAGCAGCCGCCAAACTGAGGGTCTTGGTCTCCCCAGTTGGTTCAAAAGGGCCGATCGTCGGGTCAGCTCGCAACTCTCCGAGGTCAGCTTCGACCGAGACGACGACTTTGTGCGTCACGTGTGCGACCACCTCAGCTCACGCTTCGACCAGGCCACAGCACAGGAGACCGGGACGTACCTGTGAAGTCGCTTCGTGCCCTGAATCACTGGTGACCCTGTCTGGGTGACCCTGGGGTCAAGGGGAATTGGAGCACTGAAAGTGAAAGATTCAATGACAGCAACAACGAGAAGAAGAAGAAGAAGAACCAAGAAAAAGAACAAAGAAACTATAGAGTCTATAGAGCAAGAACAGCAAAATATCTCAATTTTGTTGGGAAACCATCCTTTAGCTTGGCTGTGTTTGGCAGGTTTGAGATTTGCTCTTAGATGTGTTTGTTTTTTTCCATTGCATATTTGGATATATATATATATACACAGTATGCAAAAAGTCAATCGGGCTTCAGCTGTGTTTTGATTCATTAGAAGAGGGATCGGGATTGCAGAAGCCCTAGACAGTGCAACGTTGTGGTTCTTTGTAGATTTGAGGCCTCGATAAATTCTACTGTACCCAGACACTCCATGGAATATATGCCTACATTGACCCCCCCAAACCGCCCCAACTGATCGGCATATATGGCATACATGGAGTGTCTGGGGTATAATGCGGCTTTATGTGACATTGCTATGCGATTCACTGTTTCATGATGTCAGAACGGCATCGTGACTTGGGACATTTCCCATATTCTCTGACCCGTTTCCCAGTCGATCTTTGCTTCCAGATTTGTCCCTTAAAGTCCTTTGATTGCTTATTCCAAAATGATAGAGAATTAGTCTGACTAGTCTTTTGCATACATGCACTCTTGTTCTATGAATGGAATATCCATGGTGATGTCCTATCCATCCGTGGACAATCTCCATGCTTGAAGCGAACAAACCCAGGACATCGCAAATCCCATCACCGCGTTGATGCGGATGTGTCGCTTGGTGATGGCTGGAACATGCTGGAACACTTCTGGATCATGGCTGAGACGGCAATCCGACTATAAAATCCATCCGTTTGGATGGTGTTGCTACCCCGCAAGCTTTCTTCTCATTGCTTCCTGCCTCCTGAACCATGAGATTAATCTCTGCCATGTTAGATGTATTAGTTCTTTAGTATGTAGTGGACGCGTTGTCGGCACCAACCTCGACCGTTGACCGGTATTTTATACTCCATAGCGTCGACGCGTGCTGTCGTCTCCACTCTTGCGCCAGGCATTCCACACGAGCGCTTCTTCCGACAAGTGGCCGCCTACATCACCGCCCCAAGCTCTCGGTTGCCCTTGAAGGATTTCACCCCACAAGAGATTGTTGCTAGGCAGCAATGGCAATGCTGGGTTCTCAATGCTGAGGGGGGAGGAGGACTTTTTCACAAACGACCAGTGGCCAATTGGCTCATCCAGGCTTGATGTTCCTTCCCGAGTTTTGCCCAGGAAGGTGTGTTCTGCATTTCTGCTTGCCTGAAAGCAGCCAGACCCATCCAGTAGGTTCTTATGTAATTACTTGGTGTTTTGTTGTGCGGAAACGGTCTCCTCAAAAACCGCTGTTGCTCAAATTGGCAGGCAATTTCCAGCCCCACTCGCCGGGGACATGTCCACAGTCGTACTCAAGCCGGGCATGAAGCGAGGGTCCATGTTTTCGATCCAGCTCTGTATACGTCATGTTCTTCAAGGGGATGATATATGACTTCTGTATACCTGAAAAGTTGACCCTAATAGACACATAGGATGACAATAACATACTATACATGATCAATCGTATCTATATAGTTATATATTGGCCCAGCTGGGGCTCTATGTTCCTTTTTATGACTGACGACTTTTCTCTTTGTCCACTTGGCGAATACCATCGATGTATTCAGATGGATTCAGACCTGGTCATTTCGATGCACTGCAGGCCAATACCATCTATGGCTTCGATGCACTTCAGGCGTGGAAGCGCTGGGTGTTTTTGTGCTGGGCAGCTTGAATATCCATATTGTGTCAAATGGGTGTGACGTAAATGACCACCAAATTACCACAAGGGTGCGTCAACTTACCTGGAATGTTTTTTTTGAGTTGGAGTTTGCGGTCCGAACTCCAACTCAGGAGATTGCAACCGTCACCCTGGTGGAATCCATGACCAGATCCATGTCGGGGTGCCGAACTTGGGATCCCAGAACAGCCCAGAACATCCTCTCCACCGGGGTGGCAAAAAGAATTTGATATGGAATTCCTGGTGGAGATATTCAGGGAAGCTCTTTCTCATTCTGATAGAACAAGGATGTGAAAAAAAGGGTGCCATATGTGAGATTTCTTTACTTCCTCCAAAACAGGGGTCACTCAGGTTCGTCGTTTTGTCTATAGTGCCACCGGAGATTCTTAAGGGCAACACTCAGTCTCCCCGCGTCAGCGGCCAAGCATCCATCTTCTGACGCGACGCCGGTCCAAGGGTTTGGAGCGAAGGGGGAGCGTGGGGCCGTTTCGCCAGAAGACAGGGTCTCGGTGAGATGAGCCAGCATGGCCTGCGGAGACACCATGGTGTCATCCCCAGCATGGCCTGCTCAGTGACGGTTTCAGAGTGACTTTTCACTATCCCCAAGTTTGTTGATATTGACCCTCAGATGAATGACATCTTTGGGCCTTTGGGTTTGTGCCAAAACCACCTGTACAGTGAATGTTGCATTCCTTGTGACCAGATGACACTGTGAACACACAAGTTTTTATATTGATTTATATTATATACTGCATGGGCGTTAATTAACATGACCCAAGTCTTTGGTTTTGTACCAGGGATATGGCTGTAGGTGAAAACTTGGACCTCTACTCCCTGGTAGGTTGACCTCTCTGTAAAGTTATTAAATATATATTTAGTTACTGATAGTTACTATAGTAGTCTAAGTCTATTCTGTTCTTCCTGTGTCGCTCCGAGAGAGAGTGTCTCAGCTGGAACCTAAGCCCATCATCATGTGAGTTGGTCACACATGAAAACCCACCGAATTAAAGCTCCGCACTGTCAAGCGTGAATGCCCACGCCGACAACTTCGCAGTGGTCACAGATCTAAGTCTGTTAATTTTCGGGACACTGGTTTTGTACTCTCCGTCCTTTACCACGCGGACCGCGGACCGCGTGCCGGGACCGCGGACCCCGCGATGGCGCACGACCGCAGGTGTTTGACGTCACGCTCTTCGAGCAAACGCAGCGAGAGATCTCGAAGCGAGTGGAGGCTACTGGGTCTCGGTCCCGATCGAAGGACCATACGAAGCCGGGACCCAGGACGCGCCTGCCGCACAATGAGCGGATGGGCACGTGAAAGACACCATGGTACCGGCCGGAAGCACCCCTCCCAAAGGGTCAAAGGACATGAAGAAACACACCGAAGAAGACCCTTTGGTATCGACCAATGGGACTGCAGTCCTATGGATTATGGCCACCCCATGACTGGTGGTTTTTTGGTGGTGAATGTACAGACCATGCTGTATTTTTGCAGTCCCATTGGTCGCGTTTAGGTCTGATTTCGCCCCGGAAGGTCTCTCGAAGCCGCTTTCTTCGAGCATCGTTTCCACTTGCGGACCGTCGGACCTGCTTCGTCGGGCAGCTGCTCTCTCCCGTTTGCTGCTTTGGCCACCGTCATTGACATGACACGTGCATCCGAAAATAGAAAAAAACAATCCGATCACCAGGTGACGCGCCAGCGTTTTGATCATTTTTAAGCTAAGGCTTCTGACGTTGAAACCTTTTAGCTAGCACAGACAGGTTGCTGCATAAAAAACATCCATAGCTGCATGACATGTTGCATCCAATGACCTCGGTATACCTCGAGCAGTCTTTATTTTTTTAATCTTTTTGGGGCACATCGTGAAGCAAGACTTCCTCCAGTTTGCACATGTTTGGGGTTTTTTGATGTTCTTTGCGCAGTTTGCTCAAGAATTGGTATCATCTAATCGATCGAAGTCGTCCATGTTTCGCGCACCGAAATGCGCGGGGCAGTTGTGTTGTTGTTCAGAAACGTTTTTTGTTCCGGTTCACAATGGTCTCAGATGCACTCCGGGGGGGGCCTTCTGAGACCGTTTCCGGTGGTTTCCAGGCGTTTTCTTAGTTTCAAGACGCAGAACAGGTCGTGCGCGGATCATGACCAACACATGCCACTCATTCAGAATGGATCCTTACAGGTGCAGGGTTTGAGGGTACAATCCGCCATGCAGGGTCAAAGCATGCAAGAACCCTCCACTACTAGGAGGGTTCAATGATGGTTATATAGGGCAAGTTCTACTTTTGCCCAGAGTTCCGTGTTTGGTCCAGGGACTTGCCTGGTGGACATCAAAAAAACACCATCTTGGTGGACACCATGGGGAACGGACCACTGCACCCAAACACCCCAAGAGGTTAGGTCCTAAGCATGGTATACGTAAACATGATGTAGTAGATTATCACAACATGGAGTGTCCGACTTTTTCTCCGGATGAAACCAGATGAACTGGGTCCGTTTTCTCCGTTCCTGAGGAGTTCATTCCCCAAGAAGCGGCCAATGTGCTTTGGGCCGTCGCGAAGCAAGGCCGACCCAGGAAGCCGAAGTCGGTGCAGTCGCTGATGTGTAAGGGTAGGGTCGTTTTGGTATGATGGCCTATTTGGAAGAAGCTTCAGAGCTGGTTTCTGCTCTTAATACGTGTCGTGCCTAAAGACGGATGCTTGATGCTTGGAAAGAGCTGACAAGTCTGAGGCTTGGAAAATCTAAGTTGGTGTCCTTGCGTTGAGAGTGCTTCTTACATTTCGTGATTGGATCACAGCCCGAATTTGTGGTTGCAGGAATCGATGTGGAGCAAGCTGATGTTGATGGTCTTTGGATTTGTTCAAAAAACATGACATGCACCTGACTGAAAACAGTTTATATTCGGCGGGGCGTTTAGTCTCTTCCCCATTCGACAAGCTGCTCTCCTCATCACAAGCATCTGAGATCCAGAGCTCAAACGACGATGTTTGCGGACATCCGCAGACATCGGTCATTCTGCTTGCTGCCCACGAGAATCCATGCTGCCACCCTGGGTCGAACTCCAAACTTCCATACGCCTCCTTGTGTTCGATCTACTAGGGAGACACCCTGGCCCGGTTTGGGGTATTTAGTTGATCTAGTTTCTACCAAACCCCCTGGAACGCCAGGGAGTGGGTCCTCTATACCTCCGTTCGGTGGGCCGAACCCACGAACGAAGCGACCTCGGTCGTCTTCGCGTCAGCACACGGCCTCAGCACCCGGCGTCAGACCGGTCCTCTTCGCACCTGAAAACACGTGGCTTTTGATGCTGTTGGTCTTTTGCAAAGCAAAGGACCTGCATCCAACAAAAACCACCGCGCGGAAGGTTCCTGTCGCTCATGTCGCTCGCTCGCTCGCTCGCAGCAGAGAGAGGCCTTGGAAGCGTCGACTTCTTCGAAGAGCTCTTGCGACGCATGGCGCCCTTCGCCGAGGCACCGATTTCCCGGTGGGATTTCGGGGTGAAAGGTTCAATGTGTGGTTTTGATTTCCCAGACACGACTCATGGATGCCAAATAATTATGCCTACATTGGGGTGGTGCCAGGGGGGTCAATCGATTGGCATATATTCCAGTCCAATTTGTTGTGTCTGGGTTTGGCATGGCACTCAACCTGGTTGAGTCTGAAGTGACGCTTTTTCGTATGCAGAACGACGATCAAGATTGTCGGAAGGATGATAGAATGCCGAATGCCACGAAGCTGGCTAGTTTGGAGACCTAGCAAACCAGGTGTAACATGGTGTAACTTCAATACATTATTAATTGCGATTGACTCGGGTATATATGCATGTATAACCCATTGGTAGCTAGCAAACGGTTTTGGAAGCCTTCAAAGGTGTTTGATCCTCCATAACTTGGTGGCACGTCTTTGTTACAGTTCAATTGTATCGTGCTACTTGATGTCCGGATGTGTCATAGGTTCTACGTTTTGGATATATGTGGATGAACTCATCATAAAAGAGTTACCGCTTCTTAGGGTTTTTGCATATGCTTTCTGCACCCATGCAACAGCCTAGCAACCCTCAAAGAAACTCCAGATGGAGCTTTGTAGAGCTTCGGGGCTGACATCTTCGAGGGTCTCTCAGAGGCTCTGCGATCTACTGTTGCCACAGCAGGCAGAGCTTGCAGACCATGAAGCTCCTTGTTTTGGAGGGGTTCCTGCTTGGTATCATTTGACCATTGGTTCTATTTGGTTCCTGTGCATGCGATCAATGAGGCCCAGCGGCCCAGCGGGCCACAACGGATGGCTGTGGAATGGGGTGCAGAGGACGCGTGGGACGCGTGGGTGTCGCTGGGCTTGGAGTATTCAGGTCTGGGAGTAGACCTGTGATCCAAAAGCGGGGCATCGCGAAAGCAGGGCCCTCCGAACAGGCCTGCGAAATCGCCGGGTGTTGAGGGTAGACTCGACCACCTTTTTGGGGCAGCGTCTCCGTGAGCTTGCATCCACTCACGGATGGGCAGCTCCAAGATGGAGAAGGATGCTGGTGAGTTGGGTCTATAGCCTAATAGAGCAGAGGGGCTTAGAAGGTTCTTGTGGTTCCCCATAAGGGTTTGGTTAGACTCCATCTAGTATCCCAAGCATGGGATCCGAAGCTGGCTTCGATCTACTTCGGCGTGACATTGTCTCCCGATCGGTGCAGACCTCTCTAAAGCCGGGAACCGGAGCATTTCAGGACCTCGAGAAGCCGTTGGCGGCGCTGCGGCCTTGGAGACATCAACTTCCATCCTACGCAGCTTGGCTCATGACCTGGAAGCCTGTAATGTAGACTCTTGATTAGTAATATATATAGTAAACCACCCGGTGGTCGAATCAAGAGTCTACATTGCGGTATGCTGTACTTCATACTCCCCGAACCAGTCGAGACTGGTTCAAATCGCCTAAGTGGTGGTTCACTTGGAGGGCTTTGCATGGCAACAAAGTCCTTTGTGGGATTTAGAGCAAAGATGTTGAAGGGAGTGTTTTTTCACGCCACCCACCGAGTTGAAAGTGGATAGCACCACCTGTTTGGTATTATTCGGAACATGGTCCACTTCCAGCTCTTGGGCGAACACCAAACAGGGCGATTCCTTTGAAGTGGGGTGCGCACAAGCTGACTCATAAAGACCCAAAAGTGGTTCCAGAGTGTTCAGTAAACACCCAGCACTCAGTCGAGTCTGGACGCTCCCTCAACGTCCCGGGAAGAACCCGAAACACCGCCCCAAGCTCCGCTGCCCCTTTAGCCGCCTTCCAAGGAGCGCTTGGACCGGGTCTTCCGCACGCGGTTCTTGTCGAAGATCGCCCAATTCCTGATCCTTGGACTTGGGACTCTTCGATGTCTTCTTGTTTGCCACACTGTCCTGTGCCACATCGTGTGCCACACATCTATAAACTATATATATATAGACTATAGACTACTTAATGATACGTTTTATTGGGTTTTAAGGAGTTGATGAAAGCCATGGGCTCCAAAACTCTCATCCAGGTCGATCACATCAGATCGCGGGGACCTCCGTGGAATTCCCCAATACCGAGTCGCTCGGGGGAACGGCGACGGCCTGGGCGATGCATTTGAGATCACTGATGCATCGGCTTCAGCCCACTGATATGTTTCACTGCAATACCATACAGATGCGCAATGATATAGTTCGACATGACGTCAGCTTTTCCGAAGTACGTAGAGTGTGGCTTGAAAGCAAACGCCATGGTGACCGTGGTGACGGTGGTGTGAGAATTTGATGTATCATCCCAATGGCAAAGGCTGAAGTCTTCTTGGTCCACCAACAGTAGAATTGTCACTCTCTACAAAGTTTAGGTAAAAAAGGTACTGAGTCTTGAAAGGGCATAGATATACAGTAAAAGAGTGCATCGCTTCGCCTCTAAAACACTCTTGAACTCGATGTTCTACAATTTCAACTTTGGGACACCAAACCTTTTTCTACGATTCTACTTCAGCAAAAAAAAAACTGCAGTCCACATTTAAAGTCATTTAAATTCAGACCATCATGACCCAACCGAAAAAAGACTGAGGATGTCCTTGTCGCCAGCCAGCAACATGCCATTGCCCTCGCAGTATCAGAAGGATTTCGCCGCTTGGGACCTCTACCAGGCCGGTGATTTTGATGCCTCCCATTGGACGCCGCAGCCACCAAGGTATTGATTTCATCCATGGCTTCATGCGACTGTAGCACTGTTAGTAGTGAGCCCGAGTGAGCCCCCATTCATCCCTCTTCAAATGATTTCGACATTGGCGGGCATTCATGGGGACTTGTAGGGTACAGTTTTCTTGGTTCACTTTCTTGACCAATGTTATGAAGCCGGGCCAATGCGCGGCCACGCCCGTCCACGCTGCGCCAGGTGGGCCCAGACTACACGGAAGAGCTCCTGCGCGGTGTGGGTGTCCTGCGACATCCCTGGCGGACGGACCAGGAGCTCCTCCGGCACTATGTGGGCAATGAGCCGGCGTTTGGGCGGCACTGGGAAGACGGCGCTGCTCCGTTTTGATTGGCCACGTCGACTTATTTGTTGATCAACACGTCCTTTTAATTCACTTAGCATCACTTAGCCATCTTAGCCCCATGCAGATCCCCACAAGCAGAGCAGCAAAGTGTCTTCTCAACTGCCAACTTCTACAATACTGGTCCTTATAGTATGTCATGGAATGTGGCACCTGTGCGTAAACCTCTTGAAAAGGGCCGTCCGTGTTCCATATCTCAATCACCAGCTGGCCCCTCAATGTCCCGTTTCCCACCTGTACACACCTGGACTATAGTGACTACAGTATAGTCGTTTGGCTCCTTGCACCTAGGACTCGTTGCTCTCGCGCTATGGTGAGAAGCTGCTGATCTCAGCATCCAGCCTGATCTCACCGGCGGAGTACTCGTAGAGATCCAAACATCCAAGCTGGGCCAAAACCAGTCGCCCAACCCTGTTCGTCTTGCCTTATTCCTTAAGCTAAGCGACCAGCGACATGAGACATGCGATGACCGTTCTTACAGGCTTCAAGACCGATAAGCAAAAGATCACTCAGTCACCACATCCGCCTTCCCCTGAGAACTGCAGGTGAGCGTCATAAACGTTGAAAGAATTTAGATAGGACATGATAGGACTTAAGAGTATGAATCTTTGCGAAAGGCAAACTGCGGTTGGGGAAAGCTTGGCGAAAGGTTTGGAGAAAGGAATTTAATTGTTGATAAATGGATTTTGTTGCGAAAGGGTTGGCGAAGGAGGTTTAGTTTTCAGTACAAAGCATGTCGTTTGTTCTCAAGCCCAAAGATTCCTGATAGCCAGGCGAAAGGTTCGCGAAGATACCGCGAAAGCAGTGGTTGCAGATTAGGAATGACTCCCCAGCCTTTGCTGATACTTTTCTTAGTCGGCGAAAGCAAAACATAAAGTGAAAGCGCTGCACAAGGGATTGGCGAAAGGTTTATTTATAGTCTTAATGAACGTTTCCGGATGGTTTTTGGACACCGCTCAGGTGCTTCCGGCCGCGCGTTGGGTGTCCAGCCGGCTCTTCTTTCGCTTGGCTTCGCCCAGCAACTCCGAGTTGCTGGAGGTGCCGTGGCTGGAACTCCCAAGGTCCAAGAGGCAACCTGGCTGGGGATGGGTGGCACCAGGAGCCCGATCAGTCCACCATATAGTGAACGACCGACACCAGGTAGGTCAACCAAGGATATGTGTAGAATTGTTTACGCAATATCTTGACTAAAGTCGCTAAAGTGTTGGACTGGTTCTTTTTGCTTTTGTTGATTGATCCTTTTGCTTTGGGATCACTACCTCAGAGTGGACACTTGGAATTGACGGCATCCCCGTGACGGAGCCAAACAGAAACATTAGGCTTGTGTCTGCCAGACACCGTTATTCTAGAAGTTGATCATCTTGAAAAAAAACAGCAATCACAAAATGCAGCCAGAAAAACAAAAGCAATCATAAAAGCAAGAAAAGAGCAAAAAAAACGACAATCCCAAAATGCAGTTAGAAAAACAAAGGCAATCACAAAAGCAACAAAAAAGCAAACAACATTGCAAGCAAAAATGGAACAATACAGCATGTTTGCAACAAACAAGAACCCACCCGTGCAACAAGCAGCGTGACAACCAGTTCACAAAAGGAGTTACCTGGCAATTACTGACATAGCAAGCCAAGAAAGAACAAAAGTACTGCTACTGCTACTGTACCTGCGAGCGACTGGGTGACTAACTGCACACCCCTCCAAAAGAGCTCTGGGGTGGCTGACATCTACATGGTCCCTGAGGTTTCTGCACTCAGCCGGGCCTTCTGGTGCACTTTCTTGCACTTTTGGTCGCTGTTTTTTACTATTTGCTTGCTCTTTGTTCGCTTTTTTGTGCAAGAAAAACGAAAAAAAGAAAGCGAAACAAGAGTGCACAAAAAGCGACCAAAAGTGCGACACTTGACCCGGCGCCAGAAAACCAGTCAGCTGGGCTTCGGGGATGAAAGACCGTTGTCTCCCTCCTACCCGGCCCCCTCGCCAAGCTGGGCTCCAACGCGTTGAATTCTGAATCTGCAGTTAGTCTGCAGAGGCCCTTGCTAGGGACTAGTGGTGCGGGTAGTAGCATTGCCTCTATTGACCTTTTGCTTTGACCATGTTAAAGAGTGCTTTAAGTGTGCGCTTGTTTTTTGTTTTGTTTGTTTTTTGTTGCTTGTGCTGTTTTTTGTGTGCACATTGTTTTGCTATTTGTTTGTTTCTTGGTTGCTTTTTGTTTTGCTCGTGCTTTTTTGGCTTGCACTGTTTTTGTTATTTTTGTATTTTTTTCAAGACTGGCGGTTTCTAGAATAAAGCCACCTCTGGTCTGGCGGACACAGCATTAGGCCAACATTTGGAGCACGACATTCATGATAGATGTTCTGTAGGTGTTCTGTCGTTTTTTTTGTTTCGGTGGAGCTTGTTGGATTTCCAGTATACTTGTGTCGAACCAGAGTGACCAACGGCGATGGTGAACTCAAGAGGTGGCGGAAGCCACAGAAGCCTTAGTAGAAGAGATGCAACGATAATATCAGTGTTCGTTCAACATTTCTTTGCGATAGAAAGAGACCAGGGAGGGTTTATTGACTAATGTATATTATACTTCTGCCAAGGGTGTTGAAGGGTTTTCATAGGTGAAGGTGGGGATCTAGCCCGAGATCTTCATAATCTGCAGAGTCCCCAACTTCTTCAACCAAAGTGGGTACAGAAACCCTTTTCAGTCGGGTCAAGGGAGTCTTCGAGTCAATCCCAGATCATCCCAGAAATGGGGGGCTAGACGACGCTACTAGGAGCATTTCGGGCATCGCTACGAACGGAGCAAGGATGCTACGAACGGGGCGAACCTGGCCTTACTACTACTAGCAAGAACGGCGCGACACGCCCAGGGCGCGCTGCTGGTGGAACCGGCGCACCCCAAGGAGGACGACGAGGCCAATCAACGCCGCTTCGGTGCATCGGCCACGTCCTGGCGCGAGGAGTTGGAGCTCAGTGGAGGCCGAGGGCGTGGTGCCGCCCAGGGTGGAGGAGTAAAGGTGGAGACGAAGAAAGGTGGAGATTGCACATATGGACGATGAATCTGATCCCGACTATCTATGTCTGGCAGATCTACCTACATTGGGGTTGGTTGGAAAGGGGTGAATCCATACATTGTAATAGATGGAGTGTTTGGAACACAATATGTTGTACCGATCCAGAATTGTTCATGCGCGGCTTTGGGGTTAATGTTTGACATGATGGCCATCTCTCATAAGTCTCAAGTCAGTGTGAGTGTTGTTTTCCTTTTTTGTAATGTTTAGTCCACCACAGTTAAGCTTTGAGAATTCGTGTTGATAAGGAAGGTGGTGTGTCCTTTGACCCTTAGAGAATGGGTGAAGCCTTGTCAAAGTACGATCTGTAGACCCTTCGGACACCTGTACGAGACGATCCATGTCTTTCTAGGGGAATTCTGCATTTGGCGAGGAACTCCACCTCCCCCACCCAACCATGGTCAGTGTACATCCACATCGAGGAATCGTTTCAGTTGGCTCGGGTTTACCCTCCAGCAGCGGACCACATGAACCCTGAAAAGTATTGGATGGTAGATGAAAATCCTCCTACAGTACGGGTCCGTTTTCACGCTCTGTGTTAGGATGCAGGGGGGTAACATGTTTGCTCTCAATGAATCAAGAGTGTCATGATGTGTCATGGTAAGTGTGTCAGCAATCTCCAAGTTATCTCAATACGTCCCAAATGATGCCAGTTCTTTGCTTGTACCAAACTAGGAAGGGTAGATGTCCCAACGCTCTCACTTCATTCAAAAAGACTGCTTGCTTAACCTGTCGCATTGACGCAGGGAACGGCCATGCGCCTTTCCGACCGGTGCTCCTGAGCACCTTCTTGGGGAACTGGAGGTGCCCTGAGAAGCATCAAGGGAGGGGCCCCTTCAAATGTCCTGTCAGTTTAGAGAGGATTTTGTGAAGAACTCATTGGAGCCCAGTAGCAACCCGCTGACACTTTCTTATGGTGTAGAGTGTTCTTTCATAGGATTGTTCTGCAAAGAAGAACTATAGTGAAAAAGTCCCTACTCGCACACAAATTTCTCCGGAAGTTCCATGTTTGGGAGAATTTGCAAACAAGGAAGGTCCTTCACAGCATGTTCCGAAAAACTTGGAAGGTCCCACAGATGGTTGGGAAAAGTGGATGGACTTGACATATATATAATATATATGTTGACTGGGAACCAGGTACCCGTCGACTGACCCAGGGTTGTTGGCTTTTGGGCCTTGCGTTGGGTTTGTCGTTCGAGAGCGAGCATTTCAAGGTCGCTTCCAAACCGGCCGGTGACCAGTTTACCTTTGTGTCACTGAAGAACCCGGGAGCTTTCTGGTCCCCAACATTCCCCAACAACAGTAGATCCCAAACACAACATGTGAGCATACCTGTTGTTTCCGAGGATTACTGTAAATGGAGTGTTTGGAGTCTGGGGATTGTTGATCATCCAGGGCTGTGGATGGTCTCTTCGTGGCGTGTGCCCTGAGGAAGGGAGAGGAAGGGAGGATCGTGTTGTAGGTAACCTGCATCAAACCGGAAGATATACAAGTGACCTCAGATGATCTTTTGACCCCCAGAAACCCAAAAAACCTGCACCGGCCGAGACGCGCGGAGGCACCGGCACACGGAAGTGGTCGCCTTGGATTTGCTGGTGGACAGAGTGCTCCAAGCGCTGCAGCAACGAAGCTGGAGGCGGGTCCTGAAGCTTTGGCCCAAGAGCTGAAGTTGGGCCGAGCACTGTGAAGCTGCAAGTGGTTGATCCAGATTGGCCTTTGAAGACGCTTTCTTCACGTCTTGGGCTTTGGGGTGCTGAAAGGCTTTGTGTAAGCTGAGTAGGACTCAGAGTGTGACTTTTGACAGTTCTTGGCTCTGAAACTGAAACTCAAGATTGAATTTCATGTGCATTTCTTTTAAGTTGGACTTGTTGTGTGGGCTCCAGTTGTAGTAGGCCCAAATGAAAGACCACTGGTGTTAAAGACATACCCTTTGACGAAAAGGGAAGATCCCACGGTCAATACCAATGGCGTAATTCTGGCATATATGTTTGATTTGTTGGCCTCAGTGCAATCCTGTGTATCCCAGGTTCAGGATGTCCCTTACAAATCTACGAACAAGCTTTGGTGTTGAAAGCATGTCGCCAATGGTAAAGATACCAGTGTATACATTCATACCCCAGGAGTCACAAAGGGGTGGTTTCTAGACCCATCCAGTGAGTGGATCATGGGCACCATGTGGGCACCCCTATCCTCCAAGTTCAGCACCCCTTTGTGACTCCTGGCCATGTCTTGTTCACTCTTCCCAGCCCTGGTCCCCGTGGTCGAAGCGTTTTCTGCTCCATGTTGGTCTTCTGCTCCGTGGCGGTCCGAGCGACGTCAGGTGGCATCCGAGACTTTGGGAAGACCTTGAGGGCGAGGCGGGGAGGGCGCCTGGCGGACCACCCAACCGCGGAGTGTCCGAACTGGGATGCCTTTCAGACGTGTTCGCAGTCTGATGGGGAACTAAGTGAAGGGAGCCGAGTGGCTGAAACCTCGAATGCCACTAGCAACCATTTGTGACCGCAAAGCACAGCGAGCTCATCCACTTTGGGGTGTCTTCAGTAGCACGGATCGTGGAGAAATAATGCGCCCCAAACGGAATTGGGGCTCAAAAGACTGCCTTTTGGACTGCCTGGGAAAGTCATGAATCCTTTTGAAACGCTCCAACCGTGGCTTGGAAGTGTGGTTTTCCTCCGAAAACAAAACAAAGATGCACTGGTCGGGGTCCGACCCCCCCCTTCGACCGGATGGACGAGTCGTTGCCACAGGTGGAGCTCTTAGTGCCTCACACGCCCTGCTTGAGCTGCGTGGGCGCCTTTACGCAGCTGAAACGCTGGGCACCGCGCCTGCGTATCGCCGTGCTCTACCAGGCAGCGCCTCCAGCGCATGACGTGGGCCTTTCTGGATGCCAATGGTGTGTGTGCCGGGACGTGAGGGGACGTGGAGGTGTTGATGAGGTTTGGCTGACTTGGAAAATGGATGAACATGGGGTGCTGGTCTAGAGTCAGAGGGACATAGCATTCTTTGCCATTTTTTTGGTAAAGACCGTTGCAAACGGCGAGGAGGGAGAAAGAAGGACACAAGGATGGTGGAGGGACTCCATTGAAGGAACTGATTGGAATGTTTCATCTGTGGCACGAGTGGTCAGAGTTGCACATCAGTTTGAAGATCCTTTTGATCCAGGAGGGCTTGAACAACCATGCAAAGTATTCAAAACCTATATCATTTTAAGGGCATGTGGCAGTGAGTACATGATGATCCTAGTTTCATCCTGAAATTTCGGTCAGTGCAGTATTCAAGATTGAATGCCAATCACCGGATGGGAACCGAAGAAGAAGAACCAGCGTGAAGCATCTTCGCAGTTCTTGTCTCCCGTCGTGGTCGCAGTTCTCAAACCAGTCGTTACTCAACCCAAATCCCCGGCGTTTGCAGCTCGCAAGGGCTGCTCCTTCGCCTTTCGCAGGGACGCTTGGGACGGTGGGTCCGATCCCAGTTCGATCGATCTCGCGCGCAGGACTGGCGGGACTGGCGGAAGCTCTTGAGAGACACCGTGGCCCAGCGTGCGACGTGAGGGGCCTGGGATCCGCTCCAGCTGCAGACCCTGACCTCCTGAGGGGATTTCCAAGCAGGCGTACCCCTGGAACGCCGGCGAATCTGTCGCGGCGAAGGTGCCGCGGCGAAGGTGCCCCCGAATGCGCCGCAGCGAGAACAGCCCGGCCGCCATCGCAACAACGAAATAGGACGATGGAAGTTGAGGACGATGGAACATGGAAGTTGGTTCTGATAAAGTATATTGTGATGATCTAGCTTTGTGTCCAAAACGACTAGTGACTAGGCGAGACCCTTTCTGGTTGACCCCTTATGCATCAAGTGAATCCAAGTGGCAAACACAATCCTAGCCCTAGCTGCTGCATTTCACCAACCCTTACTTGTGTTCATGGTTTTAACGCTGTTTCTATGTGTTGTTTGGACTTGCAGGAAGGGCAATGTCTCACATCACGGACGAGACTCCAAGACTCACTCACTTGCTTGAGTTGCTCGTGTTCACCATCATGCCTCCTGTAAAGTGTAAGAAAACATACAAACCCTCTGAAGAGGCCCATCCCAGAGGCCAAAAACAGAGCATAGAGATGCATAGAGCTAGCTTGGTGAAAAGAGACGGGTAGAACTGGAGCATGCACAAAGAATGCGTTCATACATTATGATGTTCAATGCATGTACTCAAAGAATCTCAAAGATGTATGATTGAATTGTTTTCATATAATAAAATAACGTAATAATCATGTAAATGAAATAATTCATATGTTGAGTTCTCATGTAAGTGAAATTATTCATATGTTGAGTTCATATGTTATTCATATGTATTCATCACGTATATTAAGTTTACTTCATATTCCAAAACAAACAATTCCCTTCGATCCTTGGTGGAGCTCGCCAGGCCACTGCACGCTCGGTAGGTGGCCCCAGTCACGCAGAGCGTGAGACAGACATGGTGACTGCTGACCGACATGGTTCATATTTGGCCTTTATTCATAGCTTTATATACTTGTTGTTCAAACCGAGGATCCTATGATTGTTGTTTGAATGTGAACGTGAACAATAACATCCAAAGTAACATCCAATTATTTTGCTTCCCATCCACTGAAACCATGAAATTTCAACCTTTGAATGGCACTTTCCGGGAGACGAGATGATGTGTGAACTTTGGCATTATCACGAAAACCGGCATATGTTCAACCATGACATGTGTCGAACAAGTTAGTTTGAAGCACTGTGTCGGTCTGAAATAAAAGACTCTATAGACCATCACCCCAAAGCTGGATGCCTGAACCAGAGGTTTCAAGACTGAATTCCATCCATTTCTGAACCGCATGTTCTACCAAACGACAGTCCTTTTGGAGTTGTTTTCTACCAAACATCCCCCACTCAATCCCAGGCCCACCAACAAAAATATGATAAACAATACTTTTGTACCAGGGAGAGGCTGGGGACGATTCCTCCGGTTTGCATCGAGACCTGAACCCTTGATGTCACCCGTCGGTTCAACCGAGCCGTGCTCGCCGAGCAGTGCGGCGAACGAACCAGCCGCGCTGGCGTGTTGTGGTTCTTCTTGAGCATGTCGGACATGGTCCAAAGCTCTATGACTATCTATATATATATATCTTGTTAAAGCTACATGTATAACTATATATGACTATGTATATATATATATATATATATGATACTATATATGATACCATATAGAATTTATATATGGTGGTGTGCTTTAATATGAGGACCCCCCTAACCCCCCCCCCACCTTCGATCGGAGGACTCCCCCCTAACCGTCGTGACCAGCTCCGTTCGATCCCGGCCTCCTCAGCCTCAATGGCCTCGATGACGCAGGACGCGGCAGAACCGGTCTTTGGACAGGCCGCTTTGTTGGGGACTGGTGGGATAGTATGTCGAAAGGTCCTTGTAAGGAAAAAAAAGGCACAAGCTTCCAAGGGCGGGGATTGATCATGGGCCGGCTCAAGAAGAACGCCTGTTCTCAGAGACACTTGTATGTAGGTGGCCTTTAGCATAAGGTCGAGTTTTCGGAAAATCGAGATAAAGGGCACAACGCTTTCATGGACTGACAAACTTGCAGGCACTGCCGCTCTGCGCCAAAGTGGAGAGTCCAGCGCAAACTCGAGTGCAGCCAGACACCAGCTTGCCTTAGTGTTTCTTTTGCCCAGTCGAACCAGTTCCTTCTCACAAACAAATGAGCAACGTCATAAACCTCTATGTTATGAAAGAATTTTGGCAGGACTTAAGATTATGAATCTTTGCGAAAGGAGAACTGCAGTTGGGGAAAGCTTGGCGAAAGGTTTGGAGAAAGGCTCTTAATTGATGAAAGGATTTTGTTGCGAAAGGGTTGGCGAGAGAGGTTTTCAGCACAAGCATGTCATCCAAAGATTCCTGATATCCAGGGGAAAGGTTGGTGCAAGGTTCGCGAAGATGTGGCGAAAGCAGTGGTTGCAGATTAGGAATGATTCCCCTTTGCTGATATTGTAGCAGAAACTCGGCGAAAGGGTTAGCGAAAGAGGTTGTTGGGTGAAGTGGGTCGGCGAAAGCAATACATGCATGCAGCCGCGAAAGCGTTGCGAAGGGATTGGCGAAAGGTCTTTATAATCTGGCTCAAATGCAGCACTTTTTCCGAATAGACCCTAACCTTCCAATGCCTCAATACTCTCGCACAAACACGGATGAATATACTCTCGCACAACACGGATGATCCATGAAGACAGGGCGCCGAAAAACTCATGTAGAACAAAGAACTGTTTCTGCAAATACGATGGATGTGAATACGATGGATGTGGGTCTTATCCAGCATCCAGCATCACTGGTCGCTCACCACCGGTGAGACTGCCAGCCCCGGTGAGACTGCAGGACTTGTCACTGTGGGCGAGGGTGCCCAGACCAACGGAAGTGGGTGGAGGCTGCAGGTGGGGTGGAGGATTTCCTGGGGCCATCCAGGCCATCCTTTTTCCAGTGCGGCAATCAGAAGGAGGAGGAACCATGAGGACCCCATCTAGAAGAAATCGAGAACAATCCATCTCGTGCCAATACTTGTAAAATATGTGAAAGATGATCTACACATTACTGGTCTGAAGTTGGTTCGTTTCGCTTGAATAGGAACATGCACCCTCTGGCAAGCGAGCCTTTGCCTTTGGCACTTGTTTTTTGCTAGGGCTAGGGATTTCTTCCATGCTGAATTGTTGCATTTTGTTGGTCACCCTCGTTTGTGACGAATGTTTGACATGTTTGACCAAAGCATCTCTGAGGACTGGTGGCGAGACGGGCTGAGCATGGCGCGTGCACAGGCGGAGAATCAGTCCATGTTGGTGGCACTTGCCAGTACATAGGAGTAGTCCAAGGCACAACCCGCTAAAACGCTTCCAACCTGCACTTCTTGAGCAGAGGGAGTGAATCAGCGGATTCTTTTTCACCGGGCAAGGTGTGCTCCGAAGGTAGAGCTGAGGAGACTCAAAGCCAGCTGCATGTCACCTCAAGCACCCCCCAAGTATGAAGATATGTGGATCGCTGGAGAAGGAAGTGCACTCCCCGGCATGTGCCGTTGCTTTATTTTACTTTCTCCAATGAGTGTCGATGAAACATAGTGAAAAAGCAGTGGTTGGACCCCATCGCTTAGCGGATGGAGACCCACCAAGTGCAAGTGGTGGTGGGTGATGTTCATTACAATATTTATTTGTCCCACTGCCATACTTGATGCGTATCATTGGAACACCAATCCTTGAGACGTTCCCTGATCGACCTGGCTAGCAGAAGACGTTGCTCCCTCCGATGTCAAGTTTGAGCACTGCTGGACTCCGGTCATGTTTCCCCTGAAATTGGTTGCTTTTGCATTCCTCAGAAGGTGAGGAAAACCATGGAACACCATTTAGTATATACATAAGCAGATTCAAAAGAATCATGCAATCTCTCCCCCAGGTTGATTCATTGAATCATTGCACAAGTTTAGGCTCATTCATCCTCCTTCATCCTTCCTTTCGTGGGAGACCGGTATAGTCGGCGGCTTTGGGGGTGCCCCACATGACACCGTCGCTGCCCAGATCTTCAGCACTGCGGAGCTTCGGAAACCCGTGACCGAGCTGAAGGGTGTGTGTTAAAAAAAGAAAACACCGCCCTTCAGAAGTGGATGTCCAAGCTACGTGTTACTGAACAACCCTGCTTGCTGTTTTATGTAGCTGCGGTTCGCACCCTCATGTAGCTGTGGGCGAAGATTTTGGGACGCGAAGGGGCACCGCTGTGTTGAGAAGTTCACCAGCTTTGTGGGGAGAGTGTAGGAGAGTCTTGTGATTGGTACTCCCCACCGGGTGTTTCCGTGCTCGCACCATTGCGTTTGAGTGTTCCTGCCAAAGTCTCATGATTTCTCCCCATCGGTTTGGACCAAGAAGAGTCTTTTTCCATGTCCATGTGGGGTGCAAAATTGGGAAACAGCCTGAGCCCATGGGACGGGGTGGGTGTGACCTCAGCGGCCTGTTTGGAGTACTGGGCCTGGGCGGAAATCGTGATCGCCGTCGCGTTTCTTCACCAAGGCGAAGGACTTCTATACCATCCGATTTGTCCTTTCACTAGGCACGTCGGGCCTAGTCGCTTTTTTTCTTTGTGCAGGGCTTGCACATAAAGGGATGGACGAGATAGTTGAAAGAGAAACACATCTCATTTCTCTTTGGTTCTTTTGGTTCGGGTTGTGATGTTTCAGAGTCATAGCCTGTCCAGAGCAGAAGAGTCATTGCCCTTTGCAGAGAAAGAAAGAGCAGACTTGAGATGCCGATGTCCAACCACGTCCTCAGAAGCTAGTCAAACCCCGTAACCCACCTCAACCACCTTCTCAGGAGGTAGTTGGAGCCCTAGGGAGAAAGGGAGCATGCCCATCGACAGATGTTGTTCCCCTCCAGGTCTATGATCAGCGCTCAAACTGTTGCTGTCCGATCGTGGCGGCATCCACTGTCTCGACCTACGCTCGCTGAACCCAAGTGATTCGAGACAAAGTCCAAGATCACAAGCTACCTACCCATACTTCAT